GATGCCCAGATATTGACTACAGCAGTTAATCAGTTCTGAAGGGTGCATGTCAAGATGTAGAGTATTTCCGTCACTCCAGAAAATACTCACGTGTCCCTTTCCAGTCAGTGCTCTCCACCCCCAAACCCTTGCCCCAATTACAGGCAACCAGTGGTATGTTTATCGCTGTAGGTTAGTTCTGCCTATTCCAGAATTTCATTTATTTGTATGTTTTGTATTTGGCTTCCTTTGCTCAGCATAATGATTTTGAGATTTATCCATCTTTTAACTGGTATTGGTAGGCTGAGTTCACTTTACCTAAAATACCTGAGATCCTTCTTTCTTATGGATCTTATTAAAGACCAGATGTTCCCCATTCTGTATTTGAGCAGATAGGTTTTTGAAACAACGTGTGGAGCTTTATTTTTATTTTTGCTTTTTTTTTTGGTTTGAATTCTATTTTTGGCATTTATTTTATTATTTATACAATTAGCCTTTTACCCTTTGCAAATTTGGCAGATTCGCCTTCCAGATCCCTATTCAGATCATTGACAGATGTGTTGAGCTCTGTGAGAATGAGAAGTCTTATCTTGGGTTGAGATCAAACCATATGTCAGCACTCTTGGGATGTGCTTATTTTACCACCAGTGAATTTTATCTGACTGCGTGGTCCACAAAGATCTTCATGAAAAAACGAATGTTCTGTGTCATTGTTCTGTTTTTCAAATCAAGAATTACCACGAGGAAAGGAAATGGAGTTAGTCTGTTGTGACTTGTGTGTGAAACCATTTGGGTTCTTAGCCTTGACCTCCTTTTCGTCTGATTGCTCTCAAATAACCTCTTTTATAATCCATTCGTGAAACCACCTTTTCTTCATTAAGGAAATAAACATTTTTTCCTTATTCTAGTTTTTGAGATCTTTGTTCTTCATAATTCTTCTAGAGATTTTTGAAAAGGATGCTATAATCATCGTGTCTTTAAGTCTTTCAGTCCTTAGAATAGATTTTGTACTCATTTTCCTTTAACTTACCTAGTTTTTCTTGTCATGTCCAATTTGAAGATTATTTTCCTTGATAAAGAGCAAAATAGAAATTATTTTTTTCTGTTTTTTTTTTTAGACCCAGCTTTACTACTATGTTGTTACTCAAAGATTTTTTTTTTTTTCTAACGAAGTCTTTATTTCTTTTATTCTCAGTTTTCCAATCAGTCAGAAAACATAAAATATTTTCAATTCAAAGTTCTAGTAAAGATAGGCAGAACTGGGTGATGGTTTTCATAAATGAATGAATGAATGAACTAATGGATGAATGTATATCAAGTGCTCTGTTTTTTTAAATTGATACATATGATTATGTCTGTTCTTATTTATTCTATTGACCATCAGAACAATGATCCTGTTCCTTTCTAATTCTTTATAGAACTTATCAGATAACCCATCCACTGACCCACCAGTCTGCCAATTATTTTGGTAATTTGAAACATAAATCGTGATTCATTTTGAACTTACCTTGCTACTGTTCCGACAGACTATTGGCTGTGAGAATTACAGCTAGAATTAGCTCGCAGTAACTGAATTTTTTTGCTCTTGATTATATGACTTTTTTTCCCATCTTGAATATGTTCTTTAGAAACCTGAACTCACCAGGAACCTTTCTGTGTAGCTGCCTGCTAGAGTCCTAAGTTGGTTATCTACCACACTTCTTCCTTTTAGAGTATCTGTGGTTATATTATGTTTTATTATTATATTATATGACCTTCCCATCTTCTTGAGAGTTTTTGTCCCTGGGATTATGTCTATATTTTTATCTGAGCAGTTTGAATTCTTCATTCCTAAAGCTTAGTGCCCTATATCCTCTTTCGTAACTTAAGAATGCAAAGATGGGCTAGGCACGGTGGCTCACGCCTATAATCCCAGCACTCTGCGAGGCCAAGGTGGGTGAATCATTTGATGTCAGGAGTATGAGACCAGCCTGGCCAACAAAGTAAAATTCCATCTCTACTAAAAATACAAAAAAAGAACGCAAAGATGACTTTGTTTCTTCACAAGGTTCTTGTCACTTTTACCAACACAAGTTCTCCTTTAGGGGTCAGAATTCAGTCCAAAATACGTGTTCTCTTAACTGCTGCTGTTGATAAGGCAGGAGCCTTTTCACCAGAATTCTGAAGAGCACCATTTTCTAAATGAGTAGTGTATTTTCAGATACAAGCTATGCTTGGTCATGCACCTGCTTGTTATTTCATTAATGAGTTATTGTCAGAGTCCTCTGGGAACCCTCAAGAAATGAGGTGATTCATTTCCTGAGGTTATGTGGGGTTCGAGGAGCTCTTAAAGAGAATTAACTTGGCAATGTATAAATAGGTGGACTTTAGCATTACCGCTGAGTGGGCAGATGGCTACCATCATATCTGGATAATAGGTTGACTCTGCTGGTTCATTTTGCTTTAAAAGTAGTATAAACCTTTAGCTTATGACACTGGTTACAAGAAGGAGACTGAATGAGTTAATTTATCCAAATATCTGTTTCAAAATTTTCTTAAACCAAAAGTGTATCTGCCAGGTGAGATTTCTCCCCTTGTGAGAGATTTGTAGTGGGAGATTACTTAGTCTCCCACTGACATTTATTATTCTGCCTTGTAACCCTACCAGTTGGTTTAACCCCTAGCCTTTTTGTGGCAGTATCTCTTTTTTTTTTTTAGGCAGGGTCTCGTTCTGTCACCCAGGCGGGACTGCAGTGGTGCAGTCATGGCACACTGCAGCCTCACACTCTTGGACTCAAGCATTCCTCACACCTCAGCCTCCAGAGGAGGAGCTGGGACCACAGGGGGCACCACCACACGTGACTAATTAAAAAAAATTTTTTTTCTGTAGAGATGGAGGTCTTGTTATGTTTCTCAGGCTGGTCTCAAACTCCTGACCTCGAAAGATCCTTCTGCCTTGGCCTCCCAAAGTACTGAGATTACAGACATGTGCCACCATGCCTGGCCAAATCAAGTTTAATAATCTGAATATGAGATGAAGTGTTTGGATTGAGTGATGTCTTGAAAAGATTTGTGTCAAGTATTAGAATCCCAAGGTGTAAAACTAAAATCTCAAAAACATGAGAAAGCTGAAAGAAAAAGTTTTGCATATAATTTGGATTTAAGAAGGGCCCAGAAGCCCTGTGATTCTAAAGAGGCTTGAATTGAATGATTTCTCATGTCAAGCATCTCACCCGCTCAGTGGGTGATAAAACAAATGTTGGGCAGATTTTCTTCCTTGCCTCCCTCTCCCTCCCTCTTCTCCTTCTCCTTCTTCAATACCCAAGATAGTGTAAAATCAGTGCAGTTACTCAAACGCTGCTTAGTTTTTCAAGGACTTGCTTCCTTGTTCTGTTACAGTCTGTCTTGGAGACTTTCCTCAGTATATACTTTCCTTCAACTTTTTTGCTTTTTAATTTCTAAGACCACGGAAAAGTTGGAAAAACTGTACAAAGAACACCCATGAAACTTTCACCTAGAGTCACAAATTGTTAGAATTTGCCAATTTGCTCTACTTCTATCATTGGTCTATTTATCTATCCTGTGTATCCATCTATTATTTTTTTAGCTGAATCATTTTAAAGAAAGTTACAGACATCGTGCTCCCTCACAGCTACTTAAACATGTATCTCCAATAAATGAGGGCATTTTCCTATATAATCACAATGCCATTCTCACGCCTAAGAAAATTAACGTGAACTCGGTATGACTTATAGACTATATTTTCTCAGTTGTCTCAAATTATTTATGGCCGCTTTTCCCCTTCAATCTGGGATTTAGTCAGTCCTGAACTAAACCCTGGATTGGATTTATGCATTGCAAATTTGTTTACTCATTGCATTTTGCTATTATACTCCTTTAGTCTTTTTAAATCTATAACACATTATCTGCCTTTTTTGTTTATTTATTTGGTTTTTGTGGCCTTGATTTTTTTGAAGAATCTGGAGCAGTTATTGTGTAGAATATCCCACATTTTGGACTTGTCCAATTGTATAGAATAGTACACAGAGGGTGTGTTCTTCTCAATGCTTTATTCAGGAGGCACCTAGTATCAAGTTGTCCTGTTATTGATGATGTTTAGCTAAGATTGTGACTCTCTGATCATTCATTGTGAGATTATGTTTTATGAAATTTTATTTCCCCATTTGTAGTGAATGATTTGTCTGTTGGTTGATGTTCAGACAATCTGAACATCCTGGCCCCAACACTTTCACCCCGTGGTTTTAGCATCCAGTTTTGATCCTTGTGTGATTTAGTTATTGCAGTGGGGATTACAGAATGGTAATTTTTCTGTAATTACTATTATATTGTTTCCAACCTTTAAGTGTCATTCTAATATAAGAAAAAAATTGGGGGCTGGGCACAGTGGCTCACACCTGTAAACCCAGCACTTTGGTAGGCCGAGGCGGGCGGATCACGAGGTCGGGAGATCGAGATCATCCTGGCTAACATGGTGAAACCCAGGCTCTACTAAAAATACAAAAAAAAAAAAAAAAAAAAAATTAGCTGGGCGTTGTGGCAGGCGCCTGTAGTCCCAGCTGTTTGGGAGGCTGAGGCAGGAGAATGGCGTGAACCCGGGAGGCGGGGTTTGTAGTGAGCCAAGATCGCGCCACTGCACTCCAGCCTGGGCGACAGAGCGAGACTCTGTCTCAAAAAAAAAAAAAAAAAAAAAAAATTTCTCTTTTGCTCCTCTGTCTTTTAGTATCATTAGAGACCCATGTCCTATTTTCATTCAATGTGTAATCTGTTACCATCATTTTTCTTTTTTATATTTGAAGTCTCCTAAATTCGGCCAGTTGGAGCCCCATCAGGCTGGTTCCTGTGTTCTTTGGAGATGACTGCGTTTATCTCTGAGCATTTCCTTAAACTTTCCCTGCCTTAGCCCGGGATCAGCCATTTCTCCAAGGAGCCCTGGTTCCTGCTCCTGGTGAACGTTATATGGAAACCAAGCCTTTGCCTTAGATACTTTAACTGCAAGGATTCTCTTACTTCCATTTGGGCAGATACAGTACCAATGAAGGGGAGACCTGGAAAACATTCATCTTCTCTGAGAAGCCAGTGTTTGTGTATGGCCTCCTCACAGAACCCGGGGAGAAGAGCACTGTCTTCACCATCTTTGGCTCGAACAAAGAGAATGTCCACAGCTGGCTGATCCTCCAGGTCAATGCCACAGATGCCTTGGGTAAGCTGCTGCCTCTTTGGACCTTTTCACATGGATATGCATGGACTTCCTGTTATGTGCAAAGCACCAGCTTAGATACTGTGTATTCAGAGGAGCTTGAGATTCATTGGGGTAGATGGGCCCATAAGAGTTAGCAAAATGCATAGGGAGGTAATTGAGGGCTTGCTCAATTCTTCTTAATAAGACTGGGTGTTATTCTTTGTATCTTAGTTTCCTCATGCAGTTCCTGGCACATAGGAGGTTTAAATATATGTCTACTGAATATGTAGATAAATACATGAATGAAAAACATAGTTCCAAATCAACAGTGCCAATTGGACGTATTCAGTGAGTGTGCCTGGCTCTCCGTAAGTCAGTGTGCCAAGCAATGCAGGGTCCTCTCAAAGCCATCTAGGATCTAGTCGTGATCTGCTAGTCTGGATACAGGATGTGTAAGTATACAGGCAGAAGTGAAACTCTTCAGCATCCTCTCCCTGCATCCCCATGTTATCTTACCCTTTCCTACCTCTCAGCCTTGGCTAACCTGATTCTAGCTGCCCGGAATGCCCTGTTTCTTCTCACCTCCACCCATTCAGCCTCCCCTACTCGAAATCCTTTTCATATCTCAGGATCCAACATACTTGTTGCTGATATCCTAACCAGAAGACATCTCCCTTCTCTATGTCCAGAACATAAGTGTACTCATAACTCTGTGTCTGTCACTCGGTGTGTTTCACCTTCCATTGACTAGTTATAAAGCCCTTCAGAATAAGAGCTTGCCCTGTGCGTATTTGTATTCCACCTACTGGAAAACTCGATAGCCTTAGAGTCGGTAGGAGTTTAATAAGTTTACTGTGTTGCATGGCATTGAATCAAAAGTTGTGTATCGACTTCAGGTAGTATCTAATCTGACTGAAGACGCATATATGAGAGTCAAAAAGTGCTAACATAGACATAGGCATACTTTGGAATGCTTGTAAAAAGCATCCTACTTACATTTCGATGAATGTGGCAGATGGAGTGATGGTGCAAGGTATCTTAGCATTTTCCAGCCTCTTTCCATGGAGATCCTGTACCTTCAAGTAGGGCCAGCGAGCCCTCCATTGCCCTCGGGCCACACTACCAGATGGCCGTCACTGCCCGAGGAAGCAGGTTGGGAACATTAACCCCCAGTGGTATTGCTCATCAAGGAATCAGCCGTTCCCCAGTTCTCTAGGAGAGAAACACTTCTGGCTACTTGTTTCTACAGTAATGTCTTCTGTAATGTTTCAGAAGTTTGGATAAAGGTGGCTTGCTTCTTCCCAACTTTTCCAGGCAAATGTCTGCATTTCAGGTATCCTTTTCATTGGCATAGGGCTGCCCAGCTTCAAAGCAAGCCAATTGGAGGGTCTGTGTGCTTGTGGGGTGGCAACACATAGACAGGAAGTGGGGGTTGAGGCTGGGCACCTTGAGACACAGCAGGGAACCCCGTATGGGCCTGCCTGTAATGCTTCGTGCTGTGTTCCTTTTTCCTTAGGAGTTCCCTGCACAGAGAATGACTACAAGCTGTGGTCACCATCTGATGAGCGGGGGAATGAGTGTTTACTGGGACACAAGACTGTTTTCAAACGGAGGACCCCCCATGCCACATGCTTCAATGGAGAGGACTTTGACAGGCCAGTGGTCGTGTCCAACTGCTCCTGCACCCGGGAGGACTATGAATGGTTAGTTCTTCTTTGATGACTGGGGACTGAGTTGTGCTTTATTCACTCAGCAGCGTCGGGGAAAGAGACTAGGCACGGTCCCTTTCCCTGAGCAAAGGAAGGGAATAGAAGGAAACAATTATTTAGGAAGCATCTTTTATGTGCCAGGAGCTGTGTAGGCATGTTTCATGTAAGTTGTCTTCTTTAGTTCTTTCTTACAGCCAGGTAAAGTGGTAGAGGTGTCTAGGAAAGCTGCAGCCATTTCTTCAGGAATAGATAGCTCTGGGATTTATTTCTATTAGGGTAACCCAAAAATTTGCTGAAGGTTCCATTGTTGGTAATCCTTCTCCTTAGGACCGTATTCTGGAGGGGATTTATTTCTTTATCTGAAACAAGGGGATGTTAGTGTGTGTATATGCGTATGTGTGTGTTTGCATCATTTATTATTTCTTGAGCAAAATATCCAAGGCACTGCTGCGAATGCTAAAAGTAGGAGAAGTGACTTGTGCATAGCTAATTGGCACGGGAGGGGGAAGAGAGCAGGTGCCTCAGAGCAGGAACCGGTACTTTTATTGTGACTATTGAAGGGAAGGAGAGGGCTGTGACTTGCTGTTGGAGAATCAGAAAATTTTTGGAAGAAGTGCTGTTTGAGCTGGGCTCTCAGGGAGCATCTATATTTGCAGACAGCAGTGTTTTGAGACCATGTAGCTGCAACAGGCAGGTGTAGAGGCAGCAGGGTGTGGTTGGGAGTTGAACTGGGATGCCTTGTTGGGTGTATGACACGGGGATGATAATTGGAGATGAGGCTGAAAAGATAGAATACAGTAGGGCAGAGAGACCTTAGAAGGGATGAACCTTATTCTATAATTAGGAGGAAGCCTTCAGGGGCTTTTGAGGAGAGTCGATGATCAGAACAGAGCTTAGCTGTAGGAATTTTGAGGAGAGCTGATGATCAGAACAGAACTTAGCTGTAGGAAGAGGATTCTAGTGGCAGAGTACGCAGGATCTCAGAGCTCCTGGACAGTTACGTCAGTCTATAATTCAGCATGAAATCGTTGTAGTTTATTCAGGAGCACCAAGAGAGCCATGGATATTTAATATAAATACACAACTCATATTTCAGTGGTTGCCGAGGCACAGAGGAACTAGATTTTGCTTTGGGCAGCTGTACTTGTCTTGACTAAAGCCAGAAACCTCTGATGTGTTCTAGACCAGAGGTTGGAACATGGTCATACAGTAAATGTTCTAGACTTTGTAGACCATATGGTTTCTATGATCTGCATTACAACTCCTCACTCTGCCCATGGCAGTGCCCATGGGTGCGTGAAAGCAGCTCTAGATGAATGAATGTGGCTGTGATCCAGTAAATCTCTATTTACAAAGATGGCCAACCAGGTTTGGCCACTTCTGTTCTAGACCAGTGCTTCTGAAACTTTAAGGTGCGCATGAATCACGTGCAGATTCTGCCTCAGGAGTTCTGGGGGTCTGCATTTCCATCGAGCTCCCGGGAGATGTGGATGCTGCTTATATGCACATTCACCCTTTGAGCAGCGAGGCTTAGAACACAGAAGACAGTCATTTCCTTAGAAAGGTGTGTGCTCCCAAGGTAACCACACAGACTCTTTAACAGCAAAAGCACAGAGCTGGCTGATGTTCCCGGTGATGTCAGTTCCATGCTGTGTGCCTTCTGCTCTTCCTTAGACACTTTTTCATTATAGTCTAATCTAATCTAAGAGCTTTATTGGCCTCAGGTAGTCCTCCTCAGACCGGCTTGAGACTGGAGACGTCATAATCCCTGAAAAGATCATAGTGACCTCTCTCCCCTCTTCCTATCCCCAACATGTACTTCAAAATAAAATTAAGACTAAGTAAAAAATAAGTAAGAAAGTCTAACGAATTTTTGGGTTTTTTTTTTTTTCCATGACATTTAGGTGTGAACACAATTAACAACAAACTTTTCTCTCATACCCTAAGTTTCCCTCACCCCAAAAAAAAAAAAAAAAAAAAAAAATTCACAAAAAAACAAAAAAGAAATGGAGCTTGGTGTGCTCTCCTGGGTAAACTGACCTGCATCCTGCTGGTCTGCCATGCCCACCCCATCTGCCTTGCTGGAACCTGCTGGATGCTCATCCTGGTTGTATGCGGAGTCTTTTTATTATAGACCAGTCAAGCCACCTCCTCTGCCCCTTATGGAATTGGGTTGCAGGCCAAATGAGATCGTGGGGTGATGACCTTCTGAAATGCTAAGGGGTATATGGATATCGGCTGTTCCCCGCTCCACCCCCCATTGTTTCTCTGCTTGCTGTAGCTGCTGGAAGGCAGCCGGCCCAACTGTGTGGCTCTTGGAGATGTTTGATGGCATCGGACTATGGCAGTGAGAAGGAAAATGGTCCCAAGATGGATGTCAGGAAATGAGATGAGATTATAGTATCTTTCCATTAGTTCAGGTACTGGTTGACCAACTGTGTTTGAACACCAGGTTTTTTCTGATGGTCCTTTCAGACCACGCAGGGAAGCCCAGCTATTGGCCCCTGTTCCCTGATTTCAGTGGCAGATTCTTTTATATCCTTATATTTCTTGACATTGCCAAGTCATACAGCTTTCACATTCTTGACTGCAACTCCTACTAAATAATACATTTTCTATTATGACCCTGTACCTACATATGTATATGTAGATACACATACACATATAACTAAAACACAAGTTTTAGGAGACAACGTTGACTTTTAAATGTATGATGGGGCCTTTTGCAATCTTTTGCTCTTTTTTGGGAGGGGAAGAATCTGGTCTTGGGCCTCCCAGGTACTTTCAGAGTCCACTAGGTCATGACCTGTGGTCAAAGAAAGGTGCCCAGGAAGAGTGCTTTGCTATTGGAGGCAAATAAGTAATTAGCTAATGCTTTATCTGTTTCCTAAAAAGATTTAAAGTGGCTGTTCAGTAATAACGAACCGAGGTAATGAAAGAGGCACGTTTGATCCAGTGGCAAAACTGCTGCCTTTCGATTCTTTACAAAGTATTAAATGTGGATTATGATATAATGCACACAGGCCACTCTGTACCTGTTAATACTTTTCGTGTCAGAAATGTTTAATAAATATTTGGGTTTTTTCTTTTTCTTTTTTGTTTTACTGAGACAGAGTCTCACTCTGTCACCCAGGCTGGAGTGCAGTGGTGCGATCTTGGCTCACTGCAACCTCCACCTCCCGGGTTCAAGCCATTCTCTTGCCTCAGCCTCCAGAGTAGCTGGGACTACAGGTGCGTGCCACTACGCCCAGCTAATTTTTGTGTTTTTAGTAGAGACGGGGTTTTGCCATGTTGCCCAGGCTGGTCTAGAACTCCTGACCTCAAGTGATCCACCCGCCTCAGCCTCCCAAAGTGCTGGGATTACAGGTGTGAGCCACCATGCCAGGCTTAAATATTTGTTGAATTGAATAGAGCAAATAAATGTGTTCTGGTAGAGCACATGAATGTGGAATATATGTTCTGTTCTATAATTCTTTGAATATGTTCTATAATTCATTGAATTATAGAATTTACAGCTTGGCCAGGGCTTTAGAACATTCATAGTACAGTCATCTCGTTTTAGAATCATCTTCGACTGACGCCTCCTGCTTCCTACTCCAGGATGCTGCCCATCAAGCTGGGAGGTTTGGCAGATGTGACCCCAAATCACAGGCGGTCTCGTGAACCTAACTACTGTATCTCAAAGTACAGGATGATTTTAGCTAGTATGTGGACATAGTCTTAAATAACATTGAACCCTTAGTCAAAATTTTTCTTTTTTTCTGAGACAGGGTCTTGCTCTGTTGCCCAGGCTGGAGTGCAGTGGCACAATCACGGCTCACTACAGCTTTGACCTCCTGGGCTCAAATGATTCTCCCTGCTCAACCTCCCGAGTAGCTGGGATCACAGGTGTGCAGCACCATGCCTGGCTATTTTTTTGGTTCTTTTCTGTAGAGACAGGGTCTTACCATGTTGCCCAGGTTGGTCTTGAACTCCTGGGCTTAAATGATATGTCTGCCTTGGCCTCCCGTAGTGTTGGGATTATAGGCATGAACCACCATGCCCGGCCCAAAGTAATTTTTTAAAAGGGTTATTCTTTTAAAATTTCTCTTTTACTTCTTCAGAGTCTGTCAAACAGAAAGTCTCATTGGTTACTAGTAATTCTGTAACATTTGCCTAATCCCTTTTAACAGAGAGGGCAGGTCCAGATTCTTAGAGTAGGGAACTGGATCTGGCTAAAATTTAATATTGTTTTGATTTGGCATGATGATTTGTGTTTTTTTTGGTCTATTTATGGCATATGATTGTGTTTTCCCAACTGTGGTTCTGATATAAATCTTCTTTTGAAGATGTATTTTATATAAAAAGTAAATATTCTTTAAAGGGACAAGTTAAATAACTTAAAATAAAAGTGAAAAGTAGTAAGGTAAAGTCAGCACAATTGGTACGGGAACGCCTGAGATGTATAAAACAGTGGCCTTAACAAAGCCCAATTGCCTTTTTAGTGACTTCGGTTTCAAGATGAGTGAAGATTTGTCATTAGAGGTTTGTGTTCCAGATCCGGAATTTTCTGGAAAGTCATACTCCCTTCCTGTGCCTTGCCCTGTGGGTTCTACTTACAGGAGAACGAGAGGGTATGTATCACAGAGATTTCCCTGTCAGGTTCTCAGGGGTCTGCACATGGAACGAGAGAGCATAGAGGGCCATCTGGATTGCTCTATACTCTAAATTGTACAATTGCAAGTTAACAGCCTACAAGTAGTTTGGGCCACATTTTAACTTATGGTATTTGTAAACTCTCCTACCTCCAGTGAGAGAAACATTGCAAGTCTGTAAGCATCCCTGAAACTCTAGGAATATCTTACGTCATCAACTTCAGCAAGGAAACATCTTCAGAGGAATGTATTCAAGAGATATATTTAAAAATCTTGGCCAGGACAGTGCCCTAAATTGTCTGGGCTTGCCTAGTCTAGTTATAAGCAGAACTGACTCAGAACTACTGAGCATCCTCTTTCTAGTTCTAAAGGGGAATGAGTGGATGGACTGTATTGACCGTGGATAGTAAATATATTCCCAGCTGGGATGCCTTTGTGACTGTTCTTCCCTGTTTCTGACCTCTTGCTCTTGGGGTGGGGTGACAGCTACCGGAAGATTTCTGGGGACACTTGTAGCGGAGGAGATGTTGAAGCGCGACTGGAAGGAGAGGTGGTCCCCTGTCCCCTGGCAGGTAAGGGAGGTGGTTTCTTCTCTTTCATTTCTTGAGACGTGGTTGCAACAGTGTGATGATCTCACCCAAGTCTGAGCTTGTGGGTCCTATAATTGAGTGGAGAAAAACAATGGCCATCACAAGCATCACAGGGCTTCCCCTTTTCCCTAAGGTTGGTGTCTACACTCAACTTATGCATAGCCATACCCTTTTTTAGGAATGGAAAGTATGTTGTGTCAGCTCAGTTTCTTTGAGGGAAATCCCTTTGTTAATTGAAAAATATTGATTCAGCATCCACTGGGGTAGAAAGGTGCCCACGGGCTTCTGTGTGTTCCTTAATCTGTTTGTAAAGTTGAGTATAAAGAGGCGTGTGGCTTCTTAGGAAGTAGCTGAGTAGTCTGTGTTAATTTTATAATAAAAATAACTATACAATTTTAATGGAATTTTATAGATTTCAGTGTACTTTTTTATGTGTTGCCAGTTTAACCCTTTTAACAACTCAGGGAAGCAGATATTATCACTTTTGTTTTTTACTTTTTCATGAGGAAGCATGTTCAGAGGAAGTTAAATGGCTTAAGGTTACACATCTAGTAAGTGACAAAGTTGAAATTCAGACTCTAAGCCCCATGCTCTTCATTGGACATTGCCCAGAGGGCAAATAAATGTCATTCTCACTATTTTAGATAATCATTATGCATGCTAATTAAGAAAAACTTCTCTGAAATGATTCATATGCTATAAAGGTATAGTGTGTTTTAAAACACGTTTCTGCTAGATTTAGTGGTGGTGTCACATGGGATCTTTACAATAGAGACAGGAAATGATGATACTTTGACAAATAATCTCTTAGCTGCTTATTTTTCTTCACTCTGTTTCCAGTTCTTATTCATTTAAAGCTTCTTTATTCCCTCCGTGCCCTCTTTCCTGCCCATACCTCTTGGTGAAGGCAAACGGCTGGAGTTAACTTCCATCTGCGGTGGGTGGTGGTGTCTACGTGGACAGCCATAAGCACCGAATGAATCATGAAAGAAGCGTGTGGTCTCCGCAGGCAGGGCAGGGCAGCCCTGTCTTTTGCTTACTGCTGCCAGCTTGCCCTGGTGTTTTTCATGCTAAGCTCGTTAGTCCCTTAATTTAATCTTTCATCATTACCAGAGTAATTAACATACCTCACTATGGAGACTTAAAAAGAACCACCACTTCAGCAAATTCCAACAAATGAGCAGATAATATTCAAATATTTCCCTCACAAGAGCTGTTATTGATGAGGGCGTGGGTTAGTGGGGTTTGAGTGATTGCTCTTAAGGGGCTGGAGTGCCTACTTTTGTAATAAATATTTCTGAAGATAATTCAACAAGGGACAAAACAGCTTGTTTAAAGCCATCTAAACTGGCAGGAAAGCTGTTTTCTCTTCTACCAGAAGATAGAACAGGGAATTAAGTGGAGAAATCTCATTCCATTGTGGGCCACCTCCTATGTAGAAGAGAGAGAGAGAAAAAAAAGGCATGGAATAGGGGGCAGGGATATACCAGGAAAGAAAAAGATGCTTTCATAGGACTAATGGAGCCATAATATCTTTGCAAAGATGAGGTAATCTGGGCATCTGGAAGGATTTTTTAAATGCAAGAATTTTTCTTCCTTTACAATTACTATGAAAACACACATTCCTAGGCTGTGCTCATGTATGGCCAGGACCAGCCAAGAATTCCATTCCTTTTCTAGGTTAAACATTGCCCACTGGAACGCCACATGCTGCTCTGAACATAATCCTAAAACAAGTATTTCTGGATTCAGGTTCTACTTTATGGGTATTGGTTTCTTAAAGGAAAAAAAAAATAACCCAAAGTGACAGAATGAGGTTTATAGATGCTGGAGAGAGATGTGGGGCAAAAGGCTCACTGTTGCAAAGGTAGCTTTCATGTCCCTATACGTTAGCTGGCCCCCTCCCTGGGAATGACAGTGGGAAGGTTTTCTTGGCAATCAAAAGGGGAGGTAGGTTACCATGTGATGGTAGCATAGATACTTCTAAAGTGACCTGGAACCAAAGGAAAAGAAGGAAAACTTACCTTATTACAAATTGTAGATAGATTTATTTTTTGATGCATTATCTATATTGGAGCTTTTATAAAGAAGGTGATAGGTACATGTTAAGTCACTGAGTGTAGGGAATCAGGAAGTGGGCAGGAATGGCTAACCCAGGCATGCAGCAAAAGAATTCAGATTTGCATCTTGGTTCCGTATGCAACACACTGTCAAGAGGCACACTTTAGACACAGATGCTGTTGTGCTGCTTGTGTCCACTCCTGGTGAAGAATCTGGATGTTTCCCAGGCTGTTCCCTAAGTGGAAAAGAGAGTGTACTGAGTCTTCCTATTTCCAGTTGTCTGACGTTAGGTAAGTATCTTCAGCACACAGGACCTTCATTTCTACATCTTAAAAATCATCCACACCCGTGTCTGTATCATAAGAGAGAGCACGGTGTAGTAGTTAAAGCATAGACTGTGGATCCAGAGTGCCTGGGTTCTGATCTCGGTTCTGCCACTTGCTAGTTGTGTGACCTTGGGTGAGTTACTTAACCTCTCTGGTCTCAGTTTTCTCATTGTAAAATTTGGTTAACAGTAGTTCTACCATCGGGCAGTTGTTGTGAATCTTAAACAATGCCCAGTACTTAATAAGCACATTGTACACAATATGTACACAATTTGTATTTGTTGAGTAGAAACAGATTTTTTGTGATGATTATGTTGTGCACCATTTTCTAAATAGCCAAGAACAAAGGCATTATTATTATTTTGAAGATCTAAGAGGTTGATGTAATTGCCATATGGTGTTGTAAACAATATGAATAAGTGAGCACATTGATTAGAGAGCTTAGTTACAAGGCTTCAGTGACTAATGGTCTCTCGTCAACAAGATGATGGTGCTGTGGTGATAGCAGTCACGTGAGGAGGGGGAACAGGGCGATTGGTGTAATTAGGTTGGCAAGTGTGACTTGAAGACTTGTAGGCTTAGCCCAGACGTATGGTTGTTGGAGCATGCATATTGGGAGATTCAGATGAAAGAAAAACGTAACAAGTAAAAACACTTGCAGATGAAGAAACAGATTCACTGAAGTTTAAGTCACTTGCCTGAGGTGGAAATGTGATTCCGTTATGTACCTCCTGAGTCTTGATTTCTGTGCCCTTCACTGGGTCCACACCACATGCCAATGGATTTGAGGTTTGTGTGTGAGAAACAAATAGGTCAGATGTGCTAGGACCTCTTCAGCATCCCCTGGGTCCAACCTTCCACGTGTCTTGTGTGCCTGGCAGAGGAGAACGAGTTCATCCTGTATGCTGTGCGGAAATCCATCTATCGCTATGACCTGGCCTCGGGAGCCACAGAGCAGCTGCCTCTCAGCGGGCTACGGGCAGCAGTGGCCCTGGACTTTGACTATGAGCACAACTGTTTGTATTGGTCTGACCTGGCCTTGGACATCATCCAGGTGAGTCAGCGCTTGGCCTCAGTGTGGGGGCTGTGCATTGTGACTGTCCCGTCCTGATAAGCTTCATGCAGAATGGCCTATGGAAATGGACAGTTAGAGGTTTGTAAGTGTCGCTCATCTCAGGGCCGACAGGTAAAACTTTCCAGTCTTCTGTGTTAGTATTTTTCTTTCTCTGTCTTCATCTGTTCATATAGGAAGCATAAAGAAGGCCCTAAATCCACAGATGTGCTTGAAAGTGAGGTCTTGCTTTGCCTGCTGGGAAGGTGTTGGGACTAATAATGTAGGATGATTAGTTGCCCCCTATTGTGCCAACTGCCTCTTGAGCATCTTTCTTCCCAAGTCATGATACAGTAACGCTTGACTTACCCATAGCTCACATAATTATCCACTTCAGCTGTTCTGAACACAGATAAGAACCAGGAAGCAAGCGTTAAAGAGCCCTGGACAGGCCAGGGAGATAGCCATACACTCAAACCCATGCATTTAAAGGAAAGCTATTTGATCTTTATTCATTGTCTGCTTAATCCTTTTAGAAAAGCAATTCCAACAACTTTGTATCTAGATTCCCAACCCAACAGAAATCTTACAGTGCCTGGGTATTTGAGGGGGTTGGGGTGGGGGATGGCGGTGATGCTGAATGGAGCTGTCCAACAATAGTACTTGATGGCTAAGAGCCTCACAGGGAAGAAAGAGTATAAAAGCAGACACAAGAACTTAAATATAACAGCAGTCTGGTTTCACTTCTTTTAAAAGCAAACAGACTCATACATCTCAATAATCTCCGACTTTATTGTTGCGATACAGCATAATTTAGTAACCAGTGTTCATAGTGATAATGCAGAGTAATGTATATGATTAAATTCTCTTTGTCCTGCTTAAAAAACAAAAATGTAGTACATTTTAGAAATGTTTTCATGAAAACCCGGCTTCATGGGTCTGGAAAGTTTACTAACATAAAACATCTCATCCCTTGCCAGTCCTACCACTTGAATAAAGGTTACCCTTCATAGGACTGACTTGGCAGGCGGTCATTTGAACAGTTCCTAGCATTTATTATGACTTTTTTCTCTTCAGCGCCTGTGTTTGAATGGAAGCACAGGGCAAGAGGTGATCATCAATTCTGGCCTGGAGACAGTAGAAGCTTTGGCTTTTGAACCCCTCAGCCAGCTGCTTTACTGGGTAGATGCGGGCTTCAAAAAGATTGAGGTATGTGTATTTTCGTGCTGTTCTTAATTAAGGGAGTAGGCGGGGCACCTGGGCTTTGAGCCAGATTTGACACAGAGGCAGGGGCCAGTGTGTCAGATTACTCTGGAAATTTCCTGCGAGTTTCCAGAGAATGGACCAGCTGAGCCTCTGGAGAGGAGAGAAAAGGGGGTAAGTACCTGGGAGTTGATCTTTTGACTAGCAGAAGCTTAGCTAATAACAATAAATGGTAATATTATTTTTATTTTATTTATATATGTACTTATTTATTTTATTTATATATTATTTTTGTTTTATTTTACTACTTTTATTAAACATGATGGCAAAAACTAAAATTACTTTTGCATCAACCTAATATGGTATTATTATAATACTGTAACAATAATAGTCTAGTATTATTTTAGTCAATTAGAGTGATAGCAACAGTATCATCATCGTCATCATCGTCGTCGTTATTAATCCCCATTTCTCTGCAATGTAGCTATCTAGTAACCTGTCCCGCCTTATATACCCAAGGCAAGGATAATGAATGACCTCTAAACTGCCAAATCATTGTCTTGAGGCATGTAGTATGCTCAGCTCACTGCATCAGCACCTCTTTATACTGACTCTGCATGGAGAGATGGCATGTGGGTTAAGTGGGAAGTACAGTAGAAGCAGGGAGATGCAGAGAACTAAGAGGAGTTGTAAGATGAAAGACACAGAGTTGGGAGATAGACCCGGGTGTAGGCTTGACTCCACTAGCTAAGCAACATGGGGCAAGGTGCTTATGCTTTCTAAACTTCAGTTGCTTCACGCGTTAGATGGAGATTCATTTATTCATGCAACCAGTTGACAGGGGTTCTCTGCATGATACATGTGGTTTAGGTTCTGATGATACAGCAGTGGGCCTGACTCACACGTTCCTGTTCCCACAGAGCTTAGATTTTAGTGGAGGAAGCAAAATAATAAATCAGTTCTGTTGGTGATACTTGCTGCAAAGACTCTGAAACAGTGCAGTGTGATTGCACTTTTGGAGAGTGGGGCAATATTAGAATAGGCAGACAGAGCAGGTAACTTGAGGTTGATGTCTGAGCTGAGCCGAGGATGATCTTGTGTCCACCTCATGGGGATGCTGATAGAAGTGAACTGGCATCTACTGAATGCTGCCCTGGTGGTCGTGTTATTGCTCTTTCTCTCCTTTCTTTAGTTACGTGTGGTCAGCACTTGGCTAGGGGCCAGAAGAATGCAGGTGGTTGGTCACAAGCACCTACCTTCTCACAGGCTGTGGGGTGACCACTGCACAACCCAAATACTGTTGGTGCAAAATGATGTCAAATGAGCCAAGGTGCAGAGCTACTGATGCTTATAGGTCCAAGTGGGTCAGAGAGTTAGGAAAGGAGGCAGGCCTGGCAGTGAGGTTTGAAGGAGAGTTATGCCTTGATTAGAGTAAGCAGTGGGGCAGGTGGGTCCAGGATGGGATGTGGCAAGAGCAGACAGGAGTGAGTCTGCATCAGGCTTGGAGAAGCATGAGATGACCAGCCCGGCTGATGGAGAGGAGCAAGAATATGAGTCCCATCTGTGGACTCTTCATTGCAAGGCTGTGACATTGAGAATCTGTTTTATGGGCAGTGTGGAGCCATCAGTTGCCTTGGAACGTGGACTGACATGGGATGGTGAAATAAGTCAATGCTTATTTGCTTATTATTTGAGTAATTTACTTATTGATATTGCTTTGTCCAGATCATCATGCCCTGGAAACTGGTGCATTCATGGTTCTAGCTCCTCTTTCAGACCACTTGAAAAACGTCCCATGAGTCAGAGGAAGGAACAGTGCATTGTGACTAGAAGTTGGGGCAGGTTTCCTAGATGGGTCGGGTCAGGGAAACAGGCAGGCGTGGAGGGGGCATGTCTGTAGGCAGAAGCTGAGGAGCCACCTTTGGCAATGGGGGTCTTTAAGGAGCTCAGATCCGTCTCAGCCTCTTTCCCCCTGTTTTTGTCAGGTAGCTAATCCAGACGGCGACTTCCGACTCACAATCGTCAATTCCTCTGTGCTCGATCATCCCAGGGCTCTGGTCCTCGTGCCCCAAGAGGGGTAAGTGTTGCCCCAAAAGGAAATCAGTCTTGCATCCAATGCTGCAATAATAGATTCTCACGGAAACACAGACGGTGGGACAAAAACCTGTTTCTCATGATGGTGGTTGAAATGATCTATTAACTGAAAAGTTAATAGAGACCACAGCTTAATCACCATGGTCAGGTAACTCCATTCACTTTTTGTTAGCCAGTGTCAGAATCTCTTTAGGCATCCAGATGTCTTGCATCTGTAGGTTGTTTCCCTAGAAAAGTTGATGTTAAAAGAGAGCCTCTGTAGACCTAGATAGGCCTGCTTGGATATTGTGAGAACTTTCTCTTGAGTTTTATGCATGGTACAAACATTTAATTCATTCCATCTTTCCCCTGCCTTCCTAGCATGTGTAGGTTTTCTTACTTACAATCAATGTGCACTTGGGGAAGGCAAAGGTGCTTTTTGTTAACTCATTAACTGAAGGAAACATAACTAAGAGGGAAATCCCTGATTTGACATTCTGGCTTTTCCTCTCTCGTAGCATTTATGATAGAGAATTGGCACAATTTTTTCAAAGAAAATTCTAAGAGTAATGTATGTACTTGGTTGACAGTATTTAGAGAGAACAGAAGTTGATAAAAATTTTGCTTCCTTCCTTTTCATTCTTAATCCTTCACCCTCACACTTCCTAGTGGTAATCATTGTTAATAATATCTTGTGTATCTTTCATGATTGCTTTTACTTATGTACAAGTAATGTCTTTGAAACACACACACACACACACACACATATACATGCCAAATAGAATTGTAGTAGAGTTTCTATTCTGTACTTTTTTAAACAAACTTAATATGTATTGAAGATAGTTTTGTGTGAGCACGTATAGATTTTTTAGGTTTCAGAGTATTCTATTATACGTACCATAATGTGTCACCTCCTCTGCTGATTAACATTTGGTTTAATATACAAACATATACATTTCTTTGTATATTATCTTTGCATAATTTGATTTTATCTGTAAATTCTAGTAAAGGGATTTGCAGGTCAAGGAATTTAAGTGGTTTCAGGTATTATCATTATATATTGTTATAATAATGCTGAAATAACCAGCTGGATCATTCGAAAGGGGTTTCTGATCTTTTTTGGAGTAGTATTTGAGCTCCCATTTCTCTAGTCCTGATGAGATATGTGTTCTGTCCCCATTTCCGCCAGGGTGATGTTCTGGACGGACTGGGGAGACCTGAAGCCTGGGATTTATCGGAGCAATATGGATGGTTCTGCTGTCTATCGCCTGGTGTCAGAGGATGTGAAGTGGCCCAACGGCATCTCTGTGGACGACCAGTGGATTTACTGGACGGATGCCTACCTGAACTGCATAGAGCGGATCACATTCAGTGGCCAGCAGCGCTCCGTCATCCTGGACAACCTCCCGCACCCCTATGCCATTGCTGTCTTTAAGGTGAGTCCGTTTGTTGCTGCCGTTGGACAGTCAGCTCGAGCGGGTGAGGACATATGAGGTCAGGAGCCTGCCATCCCTGGGCTTTGCAGAGAAGCTGGTTAACTTCTTAAAGATTGCCTTTTTTCCAAATTTGAGATAACTTATTTTCAGTCCTATGGAGGGATGCCAGGCAGAGGCGCCAGGGGACCAGGCTCCCCTGCTGTTCACATTTCAAAAGGTTAAAAGTGAAGGCTCTTCCCATGAACATTCCCAGTTTGTCCCTCAGCGTCAGTAGCCTCATTTCGGGGTGGTGTCTTCATTTCTTGTGCGCTTTGCTCACTTTATTCCCTGATGACTTCTGGCGAGCTCTGCACCACCTACAGTGCCTTGCAGTTCTTTTCCAACTCTGGAGAGCAACATGGCTCTCCCCAACTCTGGGAAGCAGATTTCAAACTGAGGGGGTTGGGTTCATGTGATAAACTTGAATGCTTATCAGATAGTTTCTTTTGGGCAGTTTCTTCTGTGGCGTTATATGGTGAGGTTTGGATAAAATCGCTGTCCTTTGCATTTAAGTAGAAGCTTGATCGGGCCAGTCATTCAGCCAATAAATGTTAGTTGTGTCCTGCCTCGGGGAGCTCTTACCCTTAGAGAGGGATCGGAATAAAGAACTAAAGAGCTGGGCTAATGGGCACAGGTTTTCTTTTTAGAATGAAATCTACTGGGATGACTGGTCACAGCTCAGCATATTTCGAGCTTCCAAATACAGTGGGTCTCAGATGGAGATTCTGGCGCACCAGCTCACGGGGCTCATGGACATGAAGATTTTCTACAAGGGGAAGAACACCGGTAAGGCAGAGTCTCTTCTGTTGTCTCTGTAGAGTTGATCTCAGGAAAGGGGCTGCGTGTGGCCAATCTGCTCAGAGCAGGAGCTGGCAGCCTGCGTCTTTGTTGTCACGACAACATGCACATTATTTAATTTCTTCCTAATGACATCTTAATTTCTTTTCTAACGATACACACACAGCTGGAAGACAGCATGTTGTTGCCTGCCTAGAGTGTTGGTGCTTGGTGGGTAATTACACCCTCCTCCTGCCCTTGGCCCCTGACTGATTGGTGGCGTGGCTTCTGTTGCAGCTGGGAGAGTCCCAACATGTGCTTAATCCCTGTTTGGCACACTTGCAGGAAGAGACTCTGGGCTGGGTGCTGAGATCGTTGCTGCTTCCCGCCAGGGCCTCTTGCTTGTTCTCTGGTTGCCCAGATGACCTATTGCTCATTGCCCATACCTACCTCTGCTGGAATGGCGCTGTGTAGTTAGGTGTTGTTTTAATTAATTTTTCCCACCATGAAACTCTAAACCCCATGAAGAAAGAGATTGTCTGTTTTATTCCCCGATAGTCTTACCAGTGTCTAGCACTTTGTCGGTGCTCAATTCATATTTGTTGAAAGAATAAGGGATGAAAAGGAAGGGGAAGAATTGCAGTGAGTGCAGACAGGAGCTGTTTGAGAGATCTATCGGGTGAGGCTTCAAGAACTGCTATGAGGCTTTGACCTGCTAGTCCTGGAGTCTGAGACTATTCAATGGAAAGCCTTTATCATTTCATGACTGCTCTTTAATTTTGCTTATCTCCCAGCCTTACGATTGATTCTAGAGGAGAAAGATCAGAGGATTACCAAGAAGAATAGTCCCTTTAAGAATTTCCCTCTTTATCTCAGCAGGATTAAATGGCATCCTGGGTTTGCTGATTCTCCTTTATTGACAAACTGCTAAGTTTTCTGTTCTTAGCTGGAATGTTGATATTGTTGTATGGTTCTTGGCTGACCCTATACGAAGAGAAAATTGACAGGGGAAATAATATCGTTATAGATATCATTGTTATCCTCTTGGGATTGTGAAGATAGCATGAGAACACCCTGAGAAAACTATAAAGTGTCTTACAAATGTAAGACGATATTATTTGTTATGACTTCACCACTGACCTGTGAGGTAGGGAAGGCTGGTGTTATGATCCATGGTTTATAGATTAGGGAATTAAATCTCAGATATCAATTAGCTTTCCCAAAGTATCCTCACTAGTTTAGGAGCTGGCCTTTTGTTGCAATTCTGCCACTAAATGGAGAAGTCACATTCTTTCTTAGAGGAGGCACCTGTTTTGAAATAAGGAGAGTTGAAGGAATCTTGCTTCTCAGCTCCAGTGACTGAAATCTTCAGGCCTTTGTTTGATGGAGGACATCCACCCCTACTGATCTGACTTGCTAGCTAGCAGAGTGGGTTTCTAGCATTTCTCCAAGTGGATTTTTAGCATTTCTCCACGTTACCCCTTAGTCCAGTGGGTCTTCATTTTCACAAGTGCTTGTAAGCATGTGTTTGATGTGCACACAGGAGCTTCTGAAACACTGTGTGCAGATGAAGCCAGTGGTTACCCGGTCACAACTCACTTCCCAGTCTTGACTGTCCACTTCATCCCAATAACTTGAGCACGGCTGACACAGGCAGTCATACCCGTGACTGGGGAGCAGTGGGGGAGGAGGGAGTCTGTGGTCTCAGCACGTGCAAACATGGTGTCTTGGTGCCAGACAGACAGGCCTACAATCCTCATCTTAGGTGTAATTTCCCTTTCATGCCTCAAAGAGTCATCTTCATTTAAGCTAGCCAGAGTCATTTTGGGGCCCAGAGTGAGGTCTGGATAGATGACAGGCTGGTTTAAAAGGGAGCTATGTATTAGCAAGGCATAGTGGCGCGCATCTGTAGTCTCAGCTACTCGGGAGGTGGAGGTGTGAGGGTCACCTGACCTCGGGAGGTTGAGGTTGCAGTTTAGCCGAGATTGTGCTGCTGCACTCCATCCTGGGTGACAGAGTGAGACCCTGTCTCAAAAAAAAAAAAAAATGTTTTGGGGGAGATCTGTGTTGGTGAGTAGAACACAGACCTGGACCTGTGCAGAGGCGGCTGTGACCGTCCCTTTGGCCATGGCCAGTTTTCGCCTCTCTGCTCCTTTCTCTGTTTGCCTTTGGGGTTCTCTCTTATTCCCCTGTGGTTGTGAGCAGGATACTTCCAGAAGACCTCCTGCCTCCTAACGCAGGGCTGGAGAAAGATGTTTTTGTGTTTCTCTGCAGCCCAGTGCGGGTCAAATCAAAACTTCTGCAGTGGTGTCTGGCTGTCAGCACTGTCTGTGAGCACTCCACACCTTTTGGCCTTGAACTCTGCTCTAACCTGCTTGCTTTTCTGGAACTGAGAAGATACTTGCTTTTTTGGACACTGTATTACAGATCCATGGTGTGTGTTGGGAACTCCTGTCCATCTTTATTATTTTTGTTGTCTCCTCCTAATATATTCAGGACTTTCTACAGTAGTCTCCTACTTATTTGCCATTTTGCTTTCTGTGATTTCAGCTACCTGCAGTCAACCACTGTCCAAAAATATATATAGAAAATTCCAGAAATAAATAATGTATAAGAGTTAAATTGCTTGCTGTTCTGAATAGTATGATGAAATCTTGCACTGTCCCCTCCCTGTTCCACCTGGGATGTGAATCCTCCCTTTGTCCAGTGTCTCATGCTGTTGATGCTGCCGGCTCATTAGTCCCTTTAGGAGCTGGCTGAGTTATCAGGGTGTCAAAGTATTGCAGTGCTTGTGTGCAAGGAACCCTTATTTTACTTCATGATGACCCTATATCTCAAGAGTAGTGATTCTAGTAATGTGGATATGCCGAAGAGAGGTCGTAAAGTGATTCCTTTAGGGAAAGGGTGAAAGTTCTAGACTTAATAAGGGAGGAAAAAAATCTTACACTGAGTTTGCTAAGATCTGCTGTAAGAACGAACCTTCTATCTCTGAAATTGTAAAGAAGGAAAAGTAAATTCATGCACAGTATTTATAGGGTTTGGTCCTATCTGCAGTTTCAGGCGTCACCTGGGGGTCCTGGAATTGGGGACTTTGGAATAAGTGGGGACTACTATATTAACCAAGTGTTAAATAATAATAATTGATAGTAACGACATTTATTGAGGGGTTGCTGTGTTGTAAGTACCACAGTAATATGCTTTGTGGGCTTGTATAACCTCACTTCGTCTTTCCAAAGATTTCCATATGTACTGTTAATATTTCCACTTTATAGATGACAATATGAAAGTCTGGTTTAGTAACTTGAGTAGGTCACACTCTTAGTAAGTGGTAAGAATTTGCACTGTGGCTCGGTTGACGTCAAAGCTTGAACTTGGATAAAAGCACCAGGCTGTGCTCCCTCTGCCATGTGTTGCTGGAATAGCAGTGCCCTGGTAGTGTGACAGCAGTTCAGAAGTCCTGTTCTAGATTTTCACTGATGATTGTTCCTGATTAAAATGTTGTTCAATTGCAACATTTATCAATTTGAAATATTTGGTTATAAACAGATAACAAAAAATGCATTTTTCCTTTATAGCTAGCTGGTTTTTATTTTTTATTTTTATGTATTTAGTTTTTTTGGAGACAGAGTCTCACTCTGTTGCCCCAGCTGGAGTGCAGTGGCGTGATCTCGGCTCACTGCAACCTCTGCCTCCTGGGTTCAAGCAATTCTTGTGCCTCAGCTTCCTAAGTAGCTGGCACTAAAGGCACGTGTCACCATGCCTGGCTAATTTTTTGTATTTTAGTAGAGATTGGGTTTCACCATATTGCCCAGGCTGGTCTCGAACTCCTGAGCTTAGGCAGTCTGCCCACCCTGGCCTCCCAAAGTGCTAGGATTTACAGGTATGAGCCCCTGTGCCTGACCACTAGCTGGTTTTTAAATGGTATTACTGGAATCTATTCTTTGTAAAGTGTGTTTTTTCTTTAAAGAGGTTACTTTACAAGATTGTTGATGTATTCAGTTGCTCCTGCAATGGCTCTTGGAGCTTTGGAATTCTTTCGAAGTTTTGGAATTCTCCTTTAGAGCCTGCAGTAAGTACGTGCTTTTAAATATCTGTAATGAGGGTACGTATTTATTATTTGAGGTAGATTTGATTTTGATAATTGCGAAGTGTATAGATACTTGAGATGATGACATTTTTGGCTCCTAAAGTATTCCTGGAGGAATTTTCCAAAGAGGAAATGTGAAAATGTTCTGAACATGGCCAGTGAAGACGTCACGGGACTACGTGTTTGATCTTCTAAGGGAATGTCTTTGAAGACGATTGCTCTCACTTGTCCGCTCTTCACATTGAGATCACGGTTTTCATATTGCTTGGTCTACTCAAGACAGTTGGCATCCTGTATAAAGGGTCTGTGGCTGTGGTGGAATTGCCATCATAGGAGTTCCATCTTCTTCCAGCTTCTCTCTGATGCAGCTCTCCCGTTTTCCATTCTCTGGCTTCCTACCAGCCTAGACATTCCTGCCCTGCCTGCCTCTCATGATCAGTGACCTGGTTGGCTTGGTTTGGAATTTGTCCCTGGTTACTGCCTCAGAGTACAGTTTCATACATCTCTGCCTAGATCAGCCTCCTGAAATATGATACCCCATTTTGAGTTCTCTGCTCTTAGCTCTTGCTTGTTTGGATAGGAATATTTGCTCTGCATATGAAAATGTTAGTTACGTTATTTTACAGACACGATCCCTGTGGAAAAAATCATCCTGTAGTAGAGCAGATTTTTTATTTGTTTGTTTTGTTTGTTTTTGAGACAGGCTGTGGCTCTGTTGCCCAGGCTGGAGTGCAGTGGTGCTATCTCAGCGAACTGCAGCCTCTGCCTCCTGGGCTTAAACGATCCTCCCACTTCAGCCTCTGGAGTGGCTGGGATCACAGATGTGTACCCAGCTAATTGTGTTTACTTTTTTTGTAGAGACGGTCTTCACTATGTTGCTTAGCGTGGTCTCGAACTCCTGGGCTCCAGTGATCCTCCCACCTCGGCCTCCCAAAGGGCTGGGATTACAGGTGTGAGCCACTGCACCCAGCCAGTCATAGAGTATTTTAAGATAACATCATATTCTGTTATTGTTCAGGATCTTGGAACATTGAGTGATATATTGTCCTTTGAATACAAAACACATGTTCCCACATCCTTGTTTGAGTTGTTTCTCATGAGTGGTGGCTCTGTGTCAATTCTGCATTCCCTCTTGTAGCCAGTGGCCTGTACCTTTGAACTAAAGGAGCAGTCTGTGCCCACTAATAGATCAGAGTGAAGGGATGTCGGGGGCTTCTGCTGTAGTCACCTGGTTAGTCTGCTATGCTGCTATGGTAATTAAGCTGTTATGATTGATTATTTACTGAACCTTTTGGAATGTTTCATCATATGGACTTCCCTTCCTCTGGATGTGTATGTTTTCTCTCTTTGGTAATACCTCTTACTCTTTTCCTTGGCATCATAATAACATTGTTGCCATAGCGTTGTGATTTTTATTTTTATTCATAATGTAAACTAACCAATGAGGTGCCCACACACCCAAAGCTACTGAGTATATTATCCATATTGATACTGATTGCCATTAATGAACTTCGTCTAACCTGTAGGCCAGGATACGCATGACTTAGATGAACGCTTGGCTGGATGGCAGCAGATGATTTGGATATGGTGCTGATGTGTGGGAGGGTGTCTCTGTCCATGACATAGCACAAATGAAGAATTAGCAGTTGAGTTCTATCTAAGTTTTTGTGTTCATTTTCCCCATTTTCATGATTAATAATTGCAGTCAAAAGAGAAAACATGATTTCACAGTTTCTGTGACCCCATAGTTGTATCATGTTTCAGATTGTTATAAAATGGTTTATATATCCTCTTACCCGCCATCCCTGGAATGACGTAGGGGATGGGATGGCACTTTTGCCACCTTTGTTCATCCACAAAGGCTCCTTCTCAAGAGTGCAGTGATGGATTTTACCAACTCTCTCTGGTGCTACCTTTGGTAAGCTGAACCAGAGAAAAGATTGGCAGGAGTGGGCTAGATCATCATGCACTAGTCCTTATATGAACTCATTGCACAGCAGTGATTGGTGAGTACTGTGGTTGGCTCCTCATTTAGCTCTTGAGCTGCACTGTGGCACAAAGGAATTGAGAAGGGGAGGCCTGGATTTTTGTCCTGGGTTCACCATTAATCAGGTGTATGTTTTAATTAAGGCCTTTGGGGCGCTAAGGAGCAGAAACCCACCCAAGCTAGCTCAAGTGAATGGTTTTATGGAATGACTAAAGGAGCCCAAAGATGGAAGTCTAGGAGAGCCTCATGGGGACTGGAGCTGTTCTTTCTCTTTCCCTCTCGTTAGGCCTCTTCTCTCCATAAGTTTCTTTTAAAAAAACAATTTATTCAGAATTTTCAAGGCAGTGTTCAACTATATTATAGCCACCAGTGTTGTGATTGAGAAATCCAAAGACATTCTGATTCTTTTTTCAATTTAAAAAAAAAAAATTAAGGGATAGGATCTTGCTATATTGCCCAGGCTGGATTCGAGCTCCCAGGCTCGAGCGATCCTCCTGCCTCAGCCTCCTGGGTAGCTGGGGCTACAGGTGCATGCTGCCATGCCTGGCATCTCCGTAAGTCTCTTTTAGTCTCCTGACTGTCTGCAGACTGAGCTTATCTGCATACCCAGAGTTACGACTTCCACACAGTTTTGGCTTGCCATGTGCCACTTCAACACCCACATTCTATGACCCTTTCCCTGGCTCCAGTTCCTTGGTTGCTTTCTTGTCTTTCAGTAACCCAATTCCAAATTCCCAGGAGGAACACTGCTGCCTGGCTTGGCTCTGGGGCAGTCTGATCTGGCTGAAGACAGGATGCAAGTCACTGGTTATACTGAGCAGAAGGTTTCGGCACAGTAGGCCCCCCAGAGCTTGCCCCTTGACCCTTTAGAACTTCCCGCTGTCCTTTCCGTAAGACGAGGAGGTTACAGTGGGTCTCCTTTATGTATTCGGTACCTCTCTCATGGTGTGTATTAACCTGCCTGCTGCTGTTTGTCTGCCCTCCAGGAAGCAATGCCTGTGTGCCCAGGCCGTGCAGCCTGCTGTGCCTGCCCAAGGCCAACAACAGTAGAAGCTGCAGGTGTCCAGAGGGTGTGTCCAGCAGCGTGCTTCCGTCAGGGGACCTGATGTGTGACTGCCCTCAGGGCTATCAGCTCAAGAACAATACCTGTGTCAAAGAAGGTGCTTCCCTTTTTCTTTTTTGCCTGTCATCCTCCTTCCTTTGTTTCCTGCTCCCCCGCCAGGGGTGGGAGGGATAGCTCTCTGTTTCCTGACCTTTTCCCGTTATTGGAAAAAGTCCAAGGTAAAAATCAAACGTAGCAGATACTTACAAGAATACTGGTTTGGGTTCTAAGGCCTGGTAAGGGTCAAAGAGGCCCTTCAGGCCTCATTCAGAACAGGCCTACGCTGTGCCTTTCTAAGGAGTAGTTGTGGTTTTTGGTTTCATGTCAGGTGGCACAGGCTTTCTTCAGGGTCTCCCTTTTTATTCTTTTGCTTCTTCCTTTCCTCACCCATCCCTCACATCCAGGTTTCTTACCTTTTCCTGTTTTGCATAAGCTGGACCAGCCTGACTGGGAAAAATAACCAGGGTGACTCCTTCCGGGTTGACTTACTCTCACCTAACGGTTGTCCATCCTCTCACCACAGCCTAGCCCAGCGTGTCCTGAACTTTCAGACCAATGTTTGCAAAGCGCTTTGAGTCTAGACTTTCATGCCGTGACCAAGTGGCGATAGCAGCCTTACGCCCACTCCCCCTCTGAATTTGAATATAGAAATTTAAAATTTCTTTCCTCCGAAATTTAAAAATTTTTCCTTCCTGTGTAATCTTTACCCTCACCACTTCCCTACCCTCCAGCTTCATGTTTCTGTGAGTGGGGTGAAGCCCTGCAAGGGCACCTTGCCATGAAGTACATGGATTGATGGCCAGAATTTCTGCTTTTCCTTATCTGTGATTTTATTTGCCTTTTTTTTTTTTTTTTTTTTTTAAACATTTTAAAGAGACAGGAAAGAGACAGGGTCTTGCTATTGCCCAGGCTGGCACATTCACGCTCACTGCAGCCTCAACTCAAACTCCTGGGCTTAAGGGATCCTCCTGTCTCAGCTTCCCATGAAGCTAGGACTCCCGGCACGAGTCCGGCTAATTTCTTTTACAGGGGTGAGGTCTCACTTTGTTGTCCAGTCCGGTCTTGAACGTCTAGGCTCAAGGGATCCTCCCTCCTCTGCCTCTCAAGGAGCTGGGATCACAGCCGTGAGCCACCGTGCCTACTCTATTTGCTTTGTAATCCTACCCCTGCTTCTCATAGCAGCCCACGTCCAAGGCAGTGAAACACACAATACAAGCCTTTTAGTCAGTCTTCCTTAAGAAATATAAACAGAAAAACGATGAGCCTTTCTTTCTTAGAAACAAGAAACTTTCTTTCAGGCTGTGGATACAATCTTAAAACTGTTTGGAAAGAAATAAAATCAACACTAAATTCCAAGAGAAGGGGAAGAAAGCTACTCCATATTTCCCATTAGAATGCCTTTGATTATCCAAATAAGAGACCAGTCATCACATGTCGTCGATGCAGTTTGCCAAACAATACATTTTTTTCTGTAAGGAATTTTAATTGCTTGCTTTAAAGTAGTCATGGGACAGAAAAAAGTCTCCGAGTATTGAGAAAATCTTCGTAACTCATTTGCTTGATAGATAGAATATATATGGATATATATAACCATATATATATAAACATACCTATAGATATATTGAATCTGTCTGTTTTAATACTGTGTAGACACGGTCCATTAAGGAGTTCTGTGTGTAATTAGTATTTTGTAATGTTGATGTACTCTATTCACTACCCAATAGACTCAATTGGTGTCATGGTTATCCTTCCTAAGCATTTCTTCCAGCAAGCCTTCTCTCCTTTGATTTTAACTAAAAGAGGAAAGCAAGAGGCTAGTATGGGACATTTCCTTCCCTGTATACATGTGTGCTTGGTGTTCCTCCTCCCCCTTTACCACCATGTTACTAAAGGAAGGGAAACGCCAAAGAGAAAGTCCTGTGGTCCAGCAGTGAGAATAATATTGGTTTCATTTCCTCCCCTGCCGCACTCTGATGGGTAGAGAACACCTGTCTCCGCAACCAGTATCGCTGCAGCAATGGGAACTGTATCAACAGCATCTGGTGGTGTGACTTCGACAACGACTGTGGAGACATGAGCGATGAGAGAAACTGCCGTGAGTCTTCTGGGTTGGACATTAAGCATTTGCCATTACTCAGAAGCCTGGTGGGCTCTTCCCAGGCTGAGGGCCTAAGGTCTAGGGTGAGGGCCACCCATGATTGGTGATGCCCGTCTAAGTGGATGGGGCTTGGATGACAGAGAAAACATATTTCCACATACAGGTAGGTATTAGATATATAGGATTAATATTATATACATAATATGTATTTAACCACCCCAGAAGTACCACTCATTACAAGAGATTTATAAATAAACATCACATGGCTGAAACTGAACTGATTTGGCAATCTGGGCTCTAGTCTTGGCTGTGGCTCTGTAATAAAACTGGTGACTTGGGTGAGTAAACACGTGATATTCTTTGATTTGAAAATTCAATATTCAGCCTTTTTAGGGATGGGAAATGAGTATTTACTCCAGTTAGTCGATGCTGGCTACCTACCAGGCTCAAGAGAGATTGTTTTCATTGGTTAGTAATGCATAGCTTGGCCTACAGTGTGGGGCCATTGGTGTACCTGCCATGTAAATGTCATCTTTGAGCTGTATAACTTTTAAGGTCTGACTTCTAAAGTATAAGACTGTGGTTAGCAGAAGTTAAAGAAAACCAAACAATCACAAATAACAGATAGTTTATGAACCACAAATGTTCACTATCTTTTCTTCACTTAATTTCTAATAGCTTCGACATCATCTTATAAGGAAATGATTTGCCCTTTTGTTAGTCATGCATTCACTCAACGAGCAGTTGCTATACACCCTGTGTTCCAGGCTGTGTACTGGGCCTGCACGTATATTGCTGATCAAGGTGGAAACGGAGTTCACAGTCTGAAGTAGGAGTCAGAAAAATAGGCAGTTATAGTAGAGCGATGGGCACTGCGATGGGGAAGTGTCATGTTCATGTAGGATGGGCACCCAAAGCAAACTTGGGCAGGCCCTAGCAAAGAGCTCTGGAAAGTGTCTGGGGTGAGCCAAGCAGAGGTGGAGGGAATCAATTCACAGGCAAGAGAGCAGCATGTGGGGAAGCTGGCGTGGCCGGGAAACTGGTTTGAGTTATGGGGAATGGGCATGGGCACAGGGGCCAAGGTGAAGTTGGATGAATGGGTGGGGCCCAGGGCAGCAAGGGCTTTGTGGACTTTATGGGAGACGCAGTTGGGAACCACTGATGTGATGTGATAAAAGTTCATCTTTGGAAGGATAAGGAGTGACTCGGCAGAATGCGTTTGATGGAGAGAGACCAGAAGCAGGAACCAAGTCAGAAGCTTCTCTTTTAAATATTTTACCTTTGGCAACCCAGGGGCTCATTTACCCATTTGTACTGTAAGAACAGATTAATGGGCAGCTCTAGATACTCATTTAGCCAGTCATCCATGGGGCCTGTGCCTGGCTCCCCTGCCACTTCACCCAGAAAGCAACTTGAGAAATATCCAGCTCATTAAACACATCTGGGCCCTGCAATCCTACAGACTCCCCCTTTTGACTGATAGAGGGTTATTCACAAAGCCTTTCCTTAATCGTTTTCCCTTGGCTTCAGAGGATGCCTTTCACACCGAGGGAGAAGAGCTTATTTGCGGAATGGCAGATTTGGGAAAGCACTAGCCTCTCTGTGTCTTTTCTGCAAAAAATAAGGCCTATAAAGCCTCCTCTGTCTACCAGAGTTGCGGGAAGGTGTGATATTTGTGGGGGAATAGCCAAAGCTCTTTAAAAACATTAATGCTTATCAACAGCATTGCAGCAGGTAACGGAAAGGAGTTTATTACATATCTGGGTGGGATAGAAGATGCTTCTTAGAATTAACAAGTTGCAAGGAAATTGCCCAGACATAATTAGGCACAGTGGAAGCAGTGAGATACAAACCAGATGACCTCATATCCAAGTGAGGGACGCAGGCGGCCCAGCATTCCTCCTTGTGCCCTTGGGCTTGGTTTCTACTAAATGGACAGGCTGAATCTTGTATTGGCTCCGAGTTTTGAGAGGAATGAAGACCTGCATCTTTTGGGAGGCACCTGCTGCCCCCAGTGGCTTCCTCCCACCCAGCCCCTGAGCTCTGTTGCAGACTGCACAGTTACGCATGAAGTATGGAGCTGGCCCTGCCCTCCTCCCAGCTTGGTGTGAATGTCAACTGGGATTCACTTTCCGGAGACCCCGAGACCTGCTTTCTGTTCTGTCATCTCCCTAGTTCACCTGGCTCAGATCTACACACGTCAGATGGAGCTGAGGTGTGGAGAGGAGGAACCAGAAGGATTTAAAACTCAGAGCCTGGGAATGGAGAGAGGGGCTTATCTGTGCCTGCACACGTGTGTCCCTCATCAAGGAGGTTGCGTGTGGAGGAGAGAGGTTCCCTGTTTCTAAGCAGGGCTGCAGAAGAGGGACCGCCGTGACTGAGTACTGCCATGTGGGGAGTTAAGTGAGGCACCCCGCCAGCCGCCAGGGAGCAGTGGAGGAGGGGGGACACAGGGATGCAGGAGGGTGTTGTCAGTGGGTTTCCCTCCCTCTTACACAGATTCCTCCAGCTGGGTGGCTGTCAGGCACTCAGGGTTTTGACGTGAATCCCTGCAGTCTTGTCATTTTGCATTCATCCCCTGCCTCCCACCACGAGCTCAATTACAGAGAAGAAATGGAGCCTCAAATAAGAGCTGCCAGGATGTCTAACGGCAGCATTGCTATTTGGCATTTCGTGCATGATAACCCCTCCCCCGTGCCAGGATTCTGTTCTGCCACATTTTACCTCCTGGGTCAGCCTTTCACTGCTCCTGAGAGCAGCCTGCCTTCCCCTCGCCTTTCCTGGAGGGTGTTTCACGGGGTGCCAGGGATTGTGCTTAAGCACAGGAAATATCTACTTAGGAGAGGAAGAAAAATCTAATTCTATATCCATTCTAATGCCAGAAGGACGTGAGGAATGATGAGGAAGAGAAGTGACATTTGTTTAGAGCCCATTATATTTACATCCTATTTAATAGGCTCTGGTTCCAAACTTGTTCCCTGATTTGTCTTCATAATAATGCTACCAGGTAAAGGTAGATTAAGTTAGTTGTAGGTAGCAGATTCACTGCAAATCTAGTCTTTCTGACTGGGCCCGGTGGCTCATGCCTATAATCCCAGCACTTTGGGAGGCCGATGCAGGCAGATCACTTGAGGCCAGGAGTTCGAGACCAGCCTGGCCAATGTGACGAAACCCTGTCTGCACTAAAAATACAAAAATTAACTGGGGCTGGTGGTGGGTGCCTGTAATCCCAGCTACTTGGGAGGCTGAGGCAGGAGAAATCACTTGAACCTGGGAGGTGGAGGTTGTAGTGAGCCGAGATTGCACCACTGTACTCCTGCCTGGGCAACAGAGCAAGACTCCATCTCAAAAAAACAAAAAAACAAATCTAGTCTCTCTGACTGTGATCTCAAACACTTGGACATGTTATCTTACCCAATGTTACTGTTGCAAAAACTGAGCCATAGGGAGATTAAAATTAATTTCCCCAGGAAGAGGTAGAGCCAGGATTTGATGCCCAGTCTTGACCGACTACAGACAGAGCCTCTGTTCCTACTGTGGAATTCTACCTCCGTGTTGCCTTTACCATCTGTCCAGTGAAGTGCTAACTTCTTGGGTGAAATTGAGCTTCTCTAAAGGTAGTTTTGTAGATAAAGGTATTTCTGCCACTTATTTAGGAAGACACTTTTCACGTCTGAAGGGATCTTAGGAGGTAATCTAGCCTGTCACTCTCTCTCCCCAACAGATGACAGCTTCTCACTTTTCCCAGTCCTATTCCAATCTGGAAGCTGTCCACAGAAAGATATACCCTTATCTCTCTTGGTTGTAAATTTCAGGCTCTCATGCAATTTATTTCTTCTGTAAGTCTAGGTTTAATTTCTGTTGCTACAATTAATATCTGCTTTCTTCTATTTTTTAATTGGCTTTCCAGTAGGATATTTACATTTGTGGGAAGTTAATTGTACCTAAGGAGTATATCATCTTTCTCTCCCATTTTAGCTACCACTATCTGTGACCTGGACACCCAGTTTCGTTGCCAGGAGTCTGGGACTTGTATCCCACTCTCCTATAAATGTGACCTGGAGGATGACTGTGGAGACAACAGTGATGAAAGTCATTGTGGTAAGGGGACGCCACATCCTGAAACCCTGCTCCGGAGAGGGGTCATCGTGCTCCCTCACAGGGCTGTACTGGTGTGTACTGGTTTTCTGATCGCCATCTCAGGATTTATGATATTCTAGCTGAATGGCTTTCTCCATCCACATGGTGGGGTTGAGTAATTTCTCTCTTCCATTCTTAAAGAGCTTGTTTTCTGCTTTTCATGGGGATTCAGTTCTGCTGGAGACACTTGATCCAAAGTGAATGGGAATCTAGGGTCTCTGGATCAAGCGTCTCCAGCAGAACTGAACCCTCATGATTCATGGTCGGAAAAGATGGAGTGGAGACTCAGCTCCTGTCACTTACTCTTAGATTAGCCTTTGTTTTCTAATCTGAAAAATGGAGAAATGGACCCTGCTTTGCCTTGGAGAAATGCTACAAGGACAAAAGGTGATGATAAGGAAGTAAATTTCTGAATGAATTCAGGGAGTTATTAACAGCGCTACAGGCTTGGCCCACATGTCTGAGTGTGTGTGAGATTAGCCCGCTGAAGACACAGATCTGCACCTCTGTGAACTGTTCTTTTTTTTTTAACCAATTTAATTCATTCAACTCTGTTATTATTAGAAGTCAGCAGATGGTATAGGCATTGAGTGAGCATCTGTTTTCTGAATGGACATTTTTATATTTAGAAAAACAGTGGGTTACAATTCCAAGGAATGATAGAGATTCTCTGGTCCAATCCTTTTAATTTCTACTTTCTAGAGTGACTGAGGTCTGTTGAGGTCAGGGGGCTTATTCAAGGTAACACAATTAGTTGTGTCAGAATGGGGAACTGGAATCCATGTCTCCTGTTTTCTAACCCTGCACTATTTCTGTTGCACAGTACCTCCGTGTCAGTTTCATGAGACCTATGTTAGTTAACAGTCTTCGGTCCCAGACTCATAGTTGCTGACCACCAAAGGAGACGTTATGCAATCAGCATGGTGTGCCAGATTGAGGCATGAGAGGGAAGTGAGAGCGGAGGCCAGACGCTGACCCAGACGTGGTGATGAGTTGGCCAGGCCCTACTCGGCCCTCTCTCCCTGTCCACGGGGGCAGGTCCAGCCACGCTGTGCTTGTGCACATGGACACAGCCTGCTTGATTATGAGCAGGTGGTTTGACTCACAGAGGCTGAAATAAGGGGAGCTAAGGCAGCTTGTAAATCATCTCAACACAATTTAACCAGTAGAGCACGGCCTAGGCCACTTCCACACAGATAATACCCCTAGCCTGGCTCTTGGAAGGTTTTTTAAAAATTCCCAGTTTTCCTTCTTCAAGTGCTTGAAAACATGTCCTTGGAATGTGCAACTATTTTCTCTTCATCCCTGCCATTCCTCTCCCAGCACTCTTAGAAGGTTGAAACGTGCGGCTAGTTTTGCCCTAGTAAGAAGGAAACTCCACATGGTTCCCTCTTTCGGGTATCATCGAGCTCACGTACGGGGCACATGTTTGACTGTGAAACAGTTTCAGCCCCCCGGATCCTCTGTTCATGTCCCATTCTTACTAGTTTGTCCTGAATTCATCCCAGCGTCCCAGTTAGCCCCATCCTCTGATGCAGGTCCTCTTCGTAAGTTTCCAAACTCTTCCTCATCAATATCTGATTTACCAGCTTTGCCATCAACAAGCCTCTTGGGGAGAATGACTGAGATGGCTGCCTCGGGCCCCACGCTTGGCTGCTCCTGTTTTCTGAGGCTCTGTAAACTCCATGTGAAAGTTCTATGCCATAGTCTGTTTGGGCTGCGATAACAAAATACTTAGTATAGGTAATTTATAAACAGTAGTATTTTGTTTCTCACAGTACTGGAGACTGGGAGGTCCAAGATTGAGGTGCCAGCAGACTTTTTGTCTAGTGAGGGCCTGTTCCTCATAGATGGTACCTTCACTGCATCGTCAGATGGCACCTCTGCTTCTGGAAGGACTGCAGGGAAATGCTTCTCTCTGTACACAAGCGTGGCAGAAGAAGTGAACAGCTCCCTCCCACCTCTTTCATAAGGACACTAAACCTTTCATGAGGGCTCCCCCTCCACCCCCGTGACTTAATTACCTCACAAAGGCCCCATCTCTTAGTAATATCACATTGGTGATTAAGTTTCAACATAACGAATTTGAAGTTTCAACATATGAAGTATAAACATTTGAATTTTCCTAGCCTCCAGAACCGAGAGAAATAAATTGCTATTGTTTATAGGCTCAGTCTATAGCATTCTGTCTTCATGATCTCCCCAGGAGCTTTGAAGGCTGTTGCCAGGGCAGCCTCCTTCCCCTTCTTGGTCAAGCTCTACTGCTTGGTTCGTACCAGGCCCCCACCCTTCTAGAGACAGTGCATCCACCCATGTCCCTGGAGCTCTGCCCACAGAAAGTCCCGAGTTACGTTTCCCCCGTTTTGGGAGCTCAGCACTGATTTTACTCTCTGTGACTGAGCATCTCACGGTGATCAGCGCATGCGGACCTCTTGGTGCTCCTTTTCTCACACCACAGGCTGTGTCTGTAGGAGTCCTCTGTTTCTTGAAAGTTCTGCTCCCTGGCCTCCTCTGTCACTGCTTCCTAACCTCTTTCCATCATAGCAAGCATAGACAATAATATATGTGGAGAGCACTGGGATGAATGGACAAGGATGCTGTTGTCAAGAGGCAAGCAGCTCTAAGGGTCTGAGGATCTCAGAATCTCAGCCATTTGTGGCACCCTGTAACCCATTTGCAGCACACTGACTGAAAGCTGCTAAATGACCTTATGTCCCTGGTAAAAGTCTCTTCGTTCGTGGTCTCTATGGATCATTGGTGATCATGGGTCCATCTCCGTCCTTTATGAGAGCTTTTACACCAGAGACAAAACTCTGAACAAGCTTTTGTCCTCACCTCTCTGTTTGTGGTCTCACCTGCAGAAATGCACCAGTGCCGGAGTGACGAGTACAATTGCAGTTCTGGCATGTGCATCCGCTCCTCCTGGGTGTGTGACGGGGACAACGACTGCAGGGACTGGTCTGACGAAGCCAACTGTACCGGTCAGTACTTCCTGGACTCAGTTGACAGCACTGATCTGTTCATGCAGTGGTTAACATTATAGCTTTAAACGATCGGAAGATCTAGGCTCTGAGAATCAGCTTGGACCTTAGAAATCAACGAGTTTCATGCTTCTCAAAGAGCTGGTCTGTGATGAGATAAGGAGCCTGTGCCAGAATGTAAATCAACACCCTGCTTGCAACTGACTAAACAGTGTTCTGAGTGATATCGTTGATTTATGTTCTGGCTCAAGCTTCTTATTTATTCAGGACCAGTGTGAAACAGTTTTCAGACCAGCCCCTCGGCTGGGGTCCATACTTTGAGTAAGCACTGAACTAGTTCATGTTTTTTAAATGGAGCATCAGGGAGTTCCCCAGACAATGAAAATGTAAACTGTGTTTGTACTCATTTTGGCTAAGATTTTATTAAAAGTAAAGATGGAAACAACATGAATACAAGGCAAGTGCTAGGTGCTATAAGGTAGGGGTAATGTTCTAATTCTTTTGTTGTGTTCACTTACGTTCATTACATTATTTTTATGATGAGTGGATGAATGGTGGCCATATACGTTATGACGGGGCAGGGCAGACTGGGGGTGATGGGCAGTAGGTAGTGCAAGGAGTTGGGAAGTTTGTGGAGAAAGGAAAACAAATTCCATTTTATAATCATCACTTTGTATTGTACCCCTTTATAATTTGTCAAATAAAACAAAAATCAAGGAATAAAAAACCGGTTTTATGACTCATTGAGTAAATTTGCTCTACAGCCTCCTCGAGAAGCTGTTATTCAGTTCTGTCTTGAACTCCTCTAGTGATTTTGGACTAGGGAAATAAAGATGTTTCATTTAAACATTTTATGGTAAGGACAGATCTGTTTTTACACTTGGATAATTCAGACTTCATTGTGCAATTCATTGTTGAGTCAGCTTCTCAATTATCTGAAGCCAGTCATTAATCTTGTGAGTTATTGGACTTTTAAATCTCATGCCTTAACCTCCTCTGCCCCCAGAGTATCCCAGCACTTCCTACACTGCCCGGCATCTGGCGGCTCAAAGCACGCCTATTAATTGGTAAAAGCAAATACAAAGAAGGTACATCTGTTATATCTCAAACCTAAGGATAAATAACTGTGCATTATGCCTGGCTTAGACTTGCTTCCCCAAGGAGAGAGATGACCTCTTCTTTTACTCTTTTGTATTCTCTGCAGTGCCCAGCACGTAATAGAGTGTGTGCTCAGAGAACCTTTGTGGATTGAGTAATTTTACGCAACTGCTTCCCTCCATTCGTTTTAGTTTAGAGGTGACCTCATAATGGCCTTAAGGAAGTGAATGGATCTCTTCAAATGCCTTATACATCACACGGGATATTCTGTGATATTACCAAATCCTGTTCGCTTGTAAAGTCCACCCATATTCTTTCTGGTGCAGCCTCTGTGTCTTCACCTCTGCTTCTGAAAAGACTGCAGGAAAACGCTTCTCTCTGTATATAAGCCTGCAGAGGGAGGAAGAACCGAGGCCCATAAGGGAGCTGCCATTGGCACAGGAAACGCATGAATGCTGTTTGGAAGCTTCGGGTTTGGATGGATAATTAGTTAATAGATTAGAAGGGTGCACTTGGACATTGCAGTTTGTAAATTGCAGTATGATTGAACATCTTGTTAACACAACTGCCTTATTCAAATTTGTGTTTCAGCAGTGTGTGCCGGTCTTACAGAATGAATTGATAACTTCATTTCTGTAGGCAAGCTTGTATAAACTCCTGGGTTTTTTTCTCTGATTTTCTTCCGGCAAGGCAAACTGGAGAAAACTTAAGAGTCTTTGCTGCTCAACTGCAGCCTTGTTCCAAGGGCTGTTCTTCCAAACCTTTCAAGGATGATCCACCTTCTCTGTCATCTCAAAATAGCTGGAGGTCAGATGTGAGCTCATGGTGATGTGTGACATGACACCTCATTTTCAGACCTACTAAATTAAGCTGGTACAGTGCCAAAAGAAATAGGTCAGGGTAACTGACCTCCTGTTGGCATCAGCTTGGATGTGTTCTCTGCTGTGTGTCCTCTTTGCTTTGCTTTTCCCCACTTTTAATTTCCATGGGGCTGTTTTCTTTATTCGCCTCAACCCACCGCTATTGTTTTTAAATGTATACATCTGATTTCTGTGTGTTTTTTTCTTTTAAGAACAATTACCTGTAGTCATTTTATGTATATTCTTAACATCTTTCCTCTCTCCTAGATATATGGGGACTTTAGAATTTGATCCAAATCTCTGCCTACAGTTCCAGTACTAAAATACCTAGTATTTTAAACACTAAATATTTAGTATTTTAGTTTTATATTGAAAAATCCTAAACTTCATTGTTACTTTTTTTTAATAACCATTCTTCTGCATAGGCACACAGCTATTACCAGCTACCTTTGTGTCTTGTTGCTAATGTCTTCCACCAGTGCACATCCTTCAGGGGTTTTGCAGCAGGAGTCTATGAGTGGCAAACTCTTTTAAGGTTTTGTTAGTATAGACATATCTTTAATCCTCAATCTTGAATTCAGATGGGTCTGGGTTTCTAGGTTTTTAGTAATTTTCTGTATTTTCACAGAATTCTTCCATTTCTTCCTGGCTTCTTTTGTGTTGATTTGAATTCTGCTCTTAGTGGTCTGTTCAAACAATAACAGACATTCTTTTCTTTCTAATTACCTTTAGGTTATATTGCTCTTAGTTTCACCTACCTAGGTGTGGAATTATTTTTACTTATCCTGCTTGAGACTTTGTTTAAGATCTGAGAATTTTTCAAAAGACAACTCTGGGAAGTTACAGCCACTAACTCTTCAGCTATACCTGTTGGCTGCTTTCTCTGGTCTTGTCTTCAGCAGTTACTCTAAGCCATTCATTGGACTACCTCATTCTGTTGTTCTCTTCCCTCCTGTTTTTATATTTGCTGTTGCTTTATGACTCTATGTAGAATCTGAGCGACTTCTCTAGATTTATCTTCCAGTTCAGCAATTCTCTTTTCAGCTAACTCTAATCTGCTGTTTCACATATACATTGAGCATTTTTTTTTTATTTCTGTGAGTATATGTTTTGTATCTAGAATTTCTGTTTGGTTCTTTTTCAAATCTGCCCTTTATTTTTCAGTGTTCTTTTTTTATACTTTATGCTTTTTCTTCTCTGTCAATCATTCAAATTGTGATGATAGTCATTTTTTTCTTTATGCACTTACTTTTTATTTTATTTATTTATTTTTTGAGACAGGGTTTTGTTCCGTCTCCCAGGCTGGAGGACCGTGGCGCCATGACAGCTCACTGTAGCCTTGACCTCCTGGGCTCAATCCATCTTCCCGCCTTAGCCTCTTGAGTAGCTGGGACTACAGGCACGTGCCATCATGCCTGGCTAATTTTTGTATGTTTTGTAGAGGTGGAGTTTTGCCATATTGCCCAGGCTGGTCTTGAACTCCTGGGTGCAAGTGATCCTCTTATCTTGTCCTCTCAAAGTGCTGGGATTACAGGCATGAGCTACTGCACCTGGTCCCCTTCTCATGCACTTTTTTTTCTTTTTCTTTCTTTCTTTTTTTTTTTTGAGACAGGGTCTCATTCTGTCACCCAGGCTAGAGTGCAGTGGTGCAATCTTGGCTTACTGCATCCTCTGTCTCCCAGGTTCAAGCGATTCTCCTGCCTCAGCCTCCCGAGTAGCTGGGACTACAGGTGTGCACCAGGAGGCCTGGCTAATTGTTACACTTTTCATAGAGAACGGGTTTCACCATGTTGGCCAGCCTAGTCTCGAACTCCTGGCCTCAAGTGATCCATCTGCCTTGGCCTCCCAAAGTGCTGGGATTACAGGTGTGAGCTACCGTGCCTGGCCCTCATTCTTTTCTTAATAGTCAGTGCTTTGTAAGAAATAAGGCAGTACTTTCCCTGTTATAGTACTTATTTCATCCGTTCTACTCTGCCCGTGTTTGGTTAATGTTTTTAATCAGGTGTTCCAGCAGGTCTTGATGAATCAGGAAAGTTCTGCCTGAGTCAAAGATTAAGTTGTAGGATATTGACCTATATTAGAAACTGATACTAGATTTCCATGATTGTTTACCACATGAACCTCACCATTCTTATAGTCACAATGAATCCTATCATGCAGAGGATTCTTTTTCTTCCCTAAATTCTTCAGTCTGGATTAAAGTCCATGTCTTCCATCCTTGTAATTAAAAAAAAAAATTATGTATTAAGCATGCAGTATTTACCGGGCACTCAAAATCAGAGCTTGTAAGTTACTAAGAAGACAGAACAATCTAGAAAAAGATAATGTGTTATGCATTCCAGCCATACTTGGCCACTTGAATGAAATTGTGCAAACTGATTACTCTTTCTAAGCTCAGCTTCTGTGATAGAATCTGGAGATCTCAGCTATACCTCCCAGAATTGTCATTTGGAAACTTCACTAGCACTCTGAAATGGTTTTCAATTAAAAATGCAGTGCAGAGGCTGAATAATAACTAGATTAGCATGGCAATCAGTTTAGGCAACTTTATGTTTTATGAATGTGAGCAAGGTGTTGGTGAGGGATTTTTTGAAAGGCTGTCAGACTTGTGACATGAATAAATCAAAAGTATTCCAGGCGATGGCTGTTACTGGGGCAGAAACTCATGTAACATGCATGATACATTTATTCCTCTCATCAGAAATAAGTATAGTTTTTAAAGATGTTTAATGGATTCTGAGTGCCAAAGGTTGTAAATATTGAAACTTCTTATAGTTGTATATACATGCTGCCAAATACAGCCTTAGTCTTTGGAGAGATGGGAAGACATAGATAATGAGCCACCGCTTGTTTTAAAGGGGTTTGAAAAATCAGGTTCTTTGGATTTCTGACCATTGCAAAAAATAGCTTCAAATGCAGTAAAATTCCTGAGGACATCATAAACCAATTTCCCCAGTCCTTGGGCAACTTACTGCCAACTGTCTCAGTTGAATAGAAAACTCTAGTTTGCTCTCAGCAACCCACTTCTGTATGTTTTGTTTTTTTCTGTTGTGGAGTCATCCTGTCCACACAGTTAAACTAACAGAGAGCCCATCTATCTAGATTCTGTTATTTTATGCTGGTTGTAAACAAGGCCAGTCCTGGCTTGCATTCAGCAATGAACCAGACACAAACAGCTTTCTGTTTCAGAGGAGGAAGAGGAAATCAGATGGAGAGGACCATTAGGAGTGTTGGTTGGGTTTGAGGCACATATTATGCATTTGAACTAGTGTTTGACTGAGATTTTGAGATGGTTCTAAATGACTTCCAGGTGGCCTCAGCCCACGTGTGTGGAGGGGGCTGTTCATTTTTAACAGTGACTCTCTGTTTCACTAGCTTCTTTTTTGCTTTTAGTGATTATAGTGGACACCACATATTATTGGCTGGTAGATGTTGCTCTCAACTCTGCAGAAAGACAATTTCAGGTTCTTGGGGCTGCTTTCTTTGTGATTTTGGATGATTCTTTTATGTTCTTCCTTTGGCCTGAGGTTTTTCACATTTGAAATCTTTTTTTTTTTTTTTTTTTTTTTTTTAAGAATTGTAACGTATGGCTTTCCAGAACTTAGCAGGGCCCTTAGGTGTCACTGTATGACTGGTGAATTTGAGGTCACCACACGGTGGCTGCACCAGGTCCAGGACTCCGTCTCCTGAGCACAGGCTGCCACTCCTTATTTCTCAGCATCTGGATGAGTAAGAGGATTGAGGTGAGAAGATAAACTACCAGGGTATAGTAGAAGTACAGGCTTGGGCCTTGGACTGCCTTGGTGTTACTGCTTAATGATCTCTAAGTTTCCTATTCTTTCTAAGCCTGTTTCTAGTTTGTGAAAGGGGAATAATACTTACCTCACAGGTTGTTGTGAAGGGCGAGTGATTTTTTAACGTGTGCATCTGTGTCTGGGCAGTGGCCTGGGTCATGTTTATAAATCCATCGGCTCAAGCCCATTGAGGGAGCTGCCCTCCACTGCAAGGTCAGCCCCAGTGCCCAATTCCCAGCCAAGGAGAAACCTGGGCGCTCCCACAGTTCAGACCATATTCCTACCTCGTGCAAACCTCTTTTCAGCCCACCCCCTTGGACAGTTGGCTGGGGATGGAGATGAGGGGTGTGCAACTGTGTGTCTCTTCTCTGTTACAGCCGTCTATCACACCTGTGAGGCCTCCAACTTCCAGTGCCGAAACGGGCACTGCATCCCCCAGCGGTGGGCGTGTGACGGGGATACGGACTGCCAGGATGGTTCTGATGAGGATCCAGTCAACTGTGGTAAATGCAAATTCCCCAGCTCCCTCCCTGAGCCTCCCCAGTGTCTGCTGCTCAGGCAGGGAGGCAACAGCGAGCCAGAGGATGAAATGCTGTTCTCCTATGCCCATATTTACACTCTGAAATTGAATAAGCCCATCTACTTTCTATGTTGTATTGCCATATGATGTATCAGAGTATACTATATAGTCTTAAGAGTTGCAGGCAAGCAGTTTGCCCCCCACACAAACTATATGAAATGCTGCCACGTAAACAAATTAAAATGCTTTTTGAAACCAAATATTTTTAAGGTTCTCTATCCTTTTGCCAAACATTCCAAATTTGCAGAGGATGTTAGTTGTCTACATGTTATACGTTCTACTCCTCAAGTAAAGATGTTTATGCAACTCTATTTTTCTGTAGTAAGCATTTTCGTGAAGATGCGTACTCACTTTATACTACCATAACCTAGTTCACCTGATTGCTTCCTGGTTGGGCGTTTGAGGTTTTTAGATTTATACTGTTATGCTAGTACCACTATTCATGTCCTTGGAAATGGCCTGATTTTTCCTTGAGATATTTTCTGAGAGGCGTTCTTCAGTATGGAGTTGTAAGGTGAAAGGTTCCGACCAGTTTTTGAGTCTCTCTGTTACCAGATTGGATTTCCAAGGGATTCCATCACATGTGTCTCTACTAGTAACAGGTTGTATGTTTCCGCAAGTCTCCCTTGATATTAGATTTGTATCTTTTTAGTTGCTTCCACTAATGTAATGTGTGTGTTTGCCTCACGTAGGTTTGATTTATACCTCTTTTAAAATACTTTTTCTACCTAGTGACATTAACCGTTTCTCCAAATAGTGGTGCCTGTTTACTGTTTCTGTTTGATATCCTTTGGCTAATTTCCCAGAAATGATTACTTTTTACCGGATTAAAACACATTTTCATGCTTATACCTAATCCTCAAGGAGCGATTCTACACAGAGCTCGGTTTTCAAAGGCTATCTATGACTGCCCCATTAGAAGTGATTTTCTTTCTTTCTTTTTTTTTTTTTTTTTTTTTTGAGATAGGGTCTCACGCTGTCATCCAGGCTGAAGTATAGTAGTGTGATCATGGCTCACTGCAGCTTTGACCTTCTGGGCGCAAACTAACTGGGACCGCAGGGGTGGACCACCACGCCTAGCTAATTTTTCTATTTTTTTGTAAAGATTGAGTTTTTGCCATATGGCCCAGGCTGGTCTCAAACTCCTGGGTTCAAGTGATCTGCCCACCGCGGCCTCCCAAAGTGCTGGGATTATAGGCGTGAGCCACCGCGCCTGGCCAGAACTGATTTTCAAGTCCAATGCCTGGCAGTAACTTTTTGCTCAGAAGAAAGGATGACCTAGTACTAAAGATTCTGATCAAGATACTTTAGTTCTAGTTTAATTTCCCCTGGAACTGTTGTGAAACCTCAGGCTCTTAGCATTTCTACGCAAACTTTCTCCAAAACAGCTTTGCCTTAGAATTCCTCCAGAATTAAGGTAGTGAGTGATTTAAAGAGCTTTATAAAACTAGGATTTCATAGTCAGGATTCATATTGTCCTTTTCCTATTCATTGAAGCTTTTCTTTTTCTTCTAAAAAGTATACTTAGGTCAGGTATGGTGCCTCATGCCTGTAATCCCAGCACTTTATGAGGCTGAGGTGGGAGGATGGCTTGAGCCCAGGAATTTGAGATCAGCCTGGGCAACATGGCAAGGCCCCATCTCTACAAAAAATACAAAAATTAGCCAGACGTAGTGGTGCACGCCTGTGGTCCCAGCTACTCAGGAGGCTGAGGTGGCAGGATTGCTTGAGCATGGGAGGTGGAGGCTGCAGTGAACTGTGATCACGCCACTGAACTCCAAGTTGGGTGACAGAGCAAGACTCTGCCTTAAAAAAAATAAAAATAAAAAATATATATATATACACACACATACACACACACTTATAAAAATGGAAATGTTCAAAATGGAAAAGATACAAAAAGGTATAGAGTTAAAGGTTGATCTCCTCACCTGCCCAGTTCCCACTTTTTCCTAATAGGAAACCAAGTTGTATATTTTTTCAGAATATTTTTGTGCATATATAAACAAATGTAAGTATACTCTGTATTGTTGTGCTATTTCATACCCATCATGTTTAACTTTGCACCTTGTTTTTTTCACAGAACTGTTTAAGGCATAATTTTTATAGAGCACTTCTTGCATCTCTTTATAGCTGTCTGTGTTCCAGGGTACAGGAATTTATTAAACAGTCTCTTGTTGATGCACTGTTTTCAATCTGTTACACAGTTTTGCAATGCAACACTTGTGGGTAGTTTTCAGTCTATTACAAACAGTGTTGTAATGCAACCCTTGTACTTACATTAAGTACAAGGTCGTAAACTTTTATTTACATCATTTTTTTCAGTTGTGAAATAGAATGCATTTCTACAAAAGTAGAATTACTGGGTCAAAGTGTATATACATTTGTCATTTTGCTAGTTATAGCCAAATTTGCCCTCCCCAGTGGTGGTACCAATGTGTACTCTGGCCAGCACTGTGTGTAAGTGCCTGCCCGTTTCCTCCTCATCATTCTTCCGTACTGTTGAATTCTCTTTCAGAGAAGAAGTGCAACGGATTCCGCTGCCCAAATGGCACTTGCATCCCATCCAGCAAACATTGCGACGGTCTGCGTGACTGCTCTGATGGCTCCGATGAACAGCACTGCGGTGAGTTCATTCCTTGCCCCCAGGACGCACTCAGGCCTGGTGATTGTGAGTGAAGAGCGTATATTGGACTAAATCCTTTCATTTCCTCAGTACCTGCTTGTGGTTAGCTTTTAACTGAGTTGATCCCCGAGTTCTTGGCTAGGACTCCTGGAGGCTGATCGTGGCAGAGGGACATGGTTTGGTTAAAGGAGAGCAGGAAGAAAGGAAGCAGGGTTGGGGGCGATGGTGGGATTAGTTCGTACTTCAGTGAATTAGTTCATACTGTTTAGTTGAAATATGTTCTATTAATTGACCGGTTGTTTTGAATCAGCCACTTATTTCTACTTGATAGGTTTTATTAATGTTGCTGAGTATCACTGGGGGTAGAGTGGGGGGTGGGTAGGCATTGTTAGGCCAGGTGACCCTTTTTATCTTCAGTTTTCTTTAGACCCAGAAAGATCGCCTTGGGTCACTGGTGCTTATCCTTGATTACATATGGGAATCACCTGGGGAGCTTTAAAACCTTCTGGTGCCTGGACCTTACCCCCAGAGATTCTGATGTAATTAGCGTAGGTGTGGCTGGGGTGTTGGGACATTTATGATGCTCCTGGTGATTCTTCTGTGCAGTCCGGATTGAGAGCTAATGTATCAGTGCAGGGAGTGGCCAACTAGCCTGTGGGCAAAATCCAGTCCCTAACCTGCTCTATTAAATGAAGTTTGATTGGCATACAGTAGCTACTATTTGTTTACATATTGTATATGGCTGCTCTCATGCTGCGGCACTGGACTCTTGAGCAGTTGTGACAGAGGCTGTATGACTTGAAAACCCTGAAATAGTTGCTTTCTAGTTGTGTTAGTTGGGGTTAGTTGGGATTCTCCAGAAGAATAGGACCAATAGGATATGCATATGTGTATATATAGACTTATTTTAAGGAATTGGTTCATGCAGTTTTGGAGGCTGGCAAGTCCCAAATTTGCTCCAGCAGGCTGGAGACCCAGGGACACACTAAGGCTATAGTTCAAGTCCAAAGGCCGTCAGGCTGCAAACCTTGAAGACAGCCAGTTGCAGTTCAAGTATGAAGGTCTCCTTGCTGTGTCCTCACATGGCCCTTTCTCTGTGTGGGCATTCCTGGTGTCTCTCTCTTCTCAAAGGACATTAATTCTATTGAGTTGGGGACCCATTCTTATGTTTTCATTTAACCTTAATTACTTTTTAAAGGTCCTATCTCCAAATACAGTCAAATTGGGAATCAGGGCTCCAACATACAAATTTTGGGGGGACACAGTGCATTCCATTAGACTAGTTCTTTACAGAAAAAATTGCCTACCCCCATATTAGAGAGTCAGTATCATATTAATCATGCTTGAGATCAGGGGGTTTGATGCCAGACAGCTCTGGATTTCACTTTTGGCTTCATCTTCATCAGCTGTGTACTCTTGGCAACATACTTAACGCTATGGCCCTTGTTTTCTCATTTTGAATTAGCAACAATAAAATCTCTCCTAATGTTGTCTTGAGGGTTTAATGATGCACTTTATGTCAAGTGCTTTAGCTCTAGGCTTGGCAGAAAACAAGTGCTCAATAAATGGTGGTTTTTACTGTTGCTTCCTGAAGCCACATCTGTACCCGTATGCACTTGCCCAGGGCTAGAGGGCCCAGCCAGCCACGGTGCTCATGGCCTCTTCCCTGCTCTGGATCCCTTACAGAGCCCCTCTGTACGCACTTCATGGACTTCGTGTGTAAGAACCGCCAGCAGTGCCTGTTCCACTCCATGGTCTGTGACGGAATCATCCAGTGCCGCGATGGGTCCGATGAGGATGCGGCGTTTGCGGGATGCTGTGAGTTGGGGCAGGCAGGGGAGGTAACTCATGGTCACTAAAGAACTTGCACGGGAGTTTGGCCACCCTGGGGTTGTGTCTCTATTTAATAACTTACAGGTCTTGGATGAGTGTTGAGGGGTTTGGCCACCCTGGGGTTGCACCTCTATTTAGCTTACATGTCTAGGTTGAGTGTCCAAGCTTGCCTTTTCTGAGAAAGACTTTCCTTTGTTGCTTAAGGAATCCTGCTTTTCAGTAGTGGGTGTATGTATAAAGGGCAGGATGGCGAGTGACCAGGGTCTTGGCTCAAGGGTCACTGAGAGTGAGAGGCCTTCCTTGCCAGTGCTGTATCAGATGGCACCTCCAGCCTGCCACAGCCCTTTACCCTGCTTCGATGGTCCTCCCATAACTCGCCCCGCTTTGGACCTGTCTATTCATTTTGCTGCTTGAGCTTCACAGGAGCAGGGGCTTGTTTTATGCATTGCTATGGCCCTATCTTAAAACAGTGCCCTCGTTGGAGTAGCTCTTGTATTTGTTTGCTGGGACTTATGTAGCGAAGTACCGCAGACCAGGTGGCTCAAACAACAGAAGTTTATTTCTCACAAGCCTGGAAGCTGGCAGACCAAGCTCAAGGTGTCGGCAGGGTTGGGTTCCTCCTCTCTCCCTGGCCTCGTGGACGGCTGCTTTCTCCCTGGCTCTTCACACGGTCTTTCCTCTGTACACATCTGTGTCTACATTTCCTCTTCTGTAAGGACACCAGGCCTATTCAATTCGGGCCACCCAGATCACCTCATTCTAACTTTTCCTCTTTCAAGCCCTTATCTCTAAATACAGTCCTGTTTCTGAGAGACTGGAGGTTGGAACTTAAACACATGATTTTTGGGGGGATAAACTCAGCTCATAACATGAGTCGGTAAAGATTCATGGAATGGATTAATTAACAGAGTGTGCTCTGTTTAGATTACGTTTGGCTTTTGCTTTCAAGGTATGTTTTAGCCAGACAGTCCCTTGCCAGGACTCACTGCTGTTCCCCCTTGCTTCTGAGCAGCACTGCTGCTTCGACCCCTCAGCCTGGAAATTCCTGGACTTCATGGATGTTTGTTTCCTCTGTAGCCCAAGATCCTGAGTTCCACAAGGTTTGTGATGAGTTCGGTTTCCAGTGTCAGAATGGAGTGTGCATCAGTTTAATCTGGAAATGCGACGGGATGGATGATTGCGGCGATTATTCTGATGAAGCCAACTGCGGTAAGATGTCAGATCTGCCTCCTCGCATCCTAGTCCTCTAGTTACAGTGATACCTGCAGTTACAGGGACACTCACCGACACCCCCACTGCAGACTTGGCCTTCCCCTAACTCAGCAGCAGTTGCTGCCAGTTCCTGAATCCTCACACGAGGTGTTGAGTCTTGAACTGGGCAGCTGGCATCCAGCAGGTGCTAGGGAAGTTTATTTGATCTCCTTTCCTTTCTGCAGTTGGGAAGACCATATTATGTATAAGGAAGACGGTAGATAAGGAATTATGGTAAATATTATGGAGTGACCTCCCCTTAAAAGTGACAGGCCACCGTGTAATAGTTATTGTCACCATTGGCTTACCATCAATAGTTGTTTTATTCCTTTAGTGAAATGTCAGAATTAAAATTCAGGTGATCATTCTCAGGATATAGTATAGATCAGAGGGACATGGGTTAGGGGCTGGGAAGATGGGGTTTTGTTTAGGTCGTAGGTGTATTTTTTGTTGCCCACTGGGTGCACGAAGCTGCCTTATCTCTCTGTGGGTGGGAAGCGCGGGTTGCCCTGGAACTTGGGTCTGGAGGAGGATGCATAGAGTTGGAGCCCCGCGTTCACACTGGTGCAGGGGAAGCGACTGATGACGTGGTTGATCTCCGCAGAAAACCCCACAGAAGCCCCGAACTGCTCCCGCTACTTCCAGTTTCGGTGTGAGAATGGCCACTGCATCCCCAACAGATGGAAATGCGACAGGGAGAACGACTGTGGGGACTGGACTGATGAGAAGGATTGTGGAGGTAAGAGACCCCGGGGTCCTGGGTCAGCCCCATCACCACGGCACACCGGAATCATTCCACCAGCTCTGCAGGGTGTGCCTGGCTTATTCCGTGTTTTCGGGGGCATATTTTTGTGAGAATAGTGACTCAAATTTTTTCTATTCCTCTTTCTCATTTTGAAAAAAGTGTGGTTGGTGTCTCCTATTTTCAGGCTGTTTATTCTGTATTTTCAGGGCAGAGTGAGAAGTCTAGAGCCTTCCTACTCACCGTGTGGTTTGCAACCAGTAGCATCTGCATCTCCTTGGAACTTGTTAGCAATGCAGAATCTCTGACCTCACCCCAGACCTAGAGTCAGAATCTGCAGGCTAATAACCCCCAGGTCCTGTGTGCTCCACCGTGCATTTGAGGAGCACTCATGTGGAATGCAGACTTGCCCCTCTCCTTTCTGGCATTCTCATCTCTGGACCAGGTCGTGGGGTAGTTGAGGTTGAATTAACTAGAAAACAATGCTTCACCTCGGTAGGAATTCTCTTAGCCACGCTGTGCCTCCTCAGCCACCTGTTTCTTCCCCCAGCCCCTGCGAAAGCAAACTTACCTGAATGTTATTAGCCCAAATCAAATATAGTAAGTAAGGGAAATCTACTCCCCAAAAGGGAAAAGGATATTGCCTCTTCTGACAACCTGTTATACATGATTTCTAGATTAGCCACTGCTCAGAGCTATGCCTGGCACTGGCCTCCCTCAGCAGGTACAGCTAAAACTGGGACAACCGCACTAGGTTTGGGATGCATTTGGTCTAAGATCAATGTTCTGCTTCTAATGTTCTGGGTTTCCTTGCTTGGTGTTTTTCTCAGATTCACATATTCTTCCCTTCTCGACTCCTGGGCCCTCCACATGTCTGCCCAATTACTACCGCTGCAGCAGTGGGACCTGCGTGATGGACACCTGGGTGTGCGACGGGTACCGAGATTGTGCAGATGGCTCAGATGAGGAAGCCTGCCCCTCGCTTGGTGAGTTCTGGCCCAGGTCCTCTCCTGTGGTACCTGCTGTTGTGGAGAGGACCTTCTGGGGGTGTGCTCTGGGCACAACCCAACCGGGCCTCATGCCCTGCTGTCTGGGCCTTCGCTGTGTGGCCAGGTTGCCTGTCACTAATGGTGCATCTCCAGGGAAGGCTGATTTCTAGCATTTCTCCCTGGATCACAGACGCATAGGAAATTGGAATGGGAGCATCTCATCCTCTATAACTGGCCTCTGACCTTCCTGCAAGAGGCCAGCCACCCTGATTTCCACCCAGGCTGTGGTTGTGCCACCTTTGCTGCCTTCTTAGTGGGAAAGTACAAATTGGAATTAATGTGGCACTTTTTGTGTGTGTGTTAAACTCTCAGGGGAGAGAGCCCAATTCCACTTGCTAGTTGGCTGGCCTGTCCAACTAAAAGAAGGGTAAGCACTGCCATCTAGTGGCTAAACTCAAAGAGGCAGCTGAAGGTCTGTAGTCACCATGTTGTTGGAGGCGGGCGTAGACCTTGAAACCCCTTCTCGTGCGTGCTCTTAACTGCAGGCAGAACAGAGGTAAGGATCGTTCCTAAACAGGAGTCTACTTCAAACTCAGTTATAATAGAAGAACAAATAATGTTTTGCATGCTTTGCATGATCGTTTCCTTTCTTCTGTGACCATGTTCATTCCATGGCTTCCTTGTTTAAAAACATCAAAATCCCAAACTTTAGTGAAGCTAAATCATATAGGGATCTCCTGGGTTCCAACCAGAAATTCTGATTCTATGCTTTTTTTTTATAAAACATTCTAAAAATGATGGTTTTACTAGGGTGGTCTTTTTGCCATGTTGAGTTTCCTCTTGTTCTCTTGTCTAGAAGCTCAATTTTTGACAATTTCTATTTTCCAGGCCCTCTATGAGCTGACTCCTCCTTGCCTCCCTGGATTCCCTACATCAGCCAAGCTAGGTTCCTCACCTTCTCCAGATAGACTTGCTTCTTTCCTGCCTGTGCACCTGCAGCAAGGTTTTGCTCTCAGCAGAAACTCCTGTATCCTCAACCTCGTCTTCCTACTTTCCTTATCACTGAAACCCACCATCCGTCAGTGCAAACAGAGGCATGGATTTTATAGCAAAAGAGACCTTGATGTGTTAATATCATCAGAACTTCTCAAAATATGGTGCAAAGACCACCCTAATGGAATCACCGGGGGTGTTTAGAAAAAACGTAGAATGAGAATTTTTGGGTGGAGCCCAGGAGATCCCCATATGATTCTTAGGTTCACTAAAGTTTGGGATTTCTGCTTTGAACAAATAGGGCATTATTCTCCTTTCAAGCTCCACCTCTGTGGCGCTTTCACTGATTCCTTGAACTGATTTCCATCTCTTTTCCAGTCTCATTAAACTTACCCATTGACCTTTTGATTCTTAACTAGGATCTGCTGTATATTGCTTCCTAATTATTTCATGTGTGTTGATCTTTGCTTCCATAGCCATTGCGTGGATTTCCTGTTTGGGGATCTTGCCATCTACTACTTTGAGTCCTGCTCTGTGTCTCCTACAATAATAGGCAAATAGTCAGTATCCCCTAAATGCTTCTCAAATTAAAATGAATTGTAAAAACGAAACAAAACTTTGTGTCTGTCCTTTCCCCTCCAGGCCTACGTATTTATTGAATAACTTGATTATCCTCTCCAAGTTGTTTTTGCTTATTAAAACTCTGACCAGGACATTAATAGACTCTAGCAAATTCTGACTAATCCGTTGAGCAGATCTCTGTTTATGTATCCTGTTCAGCTTTTGTACTTTCTTTTTTGTGTGCAGTGCTGGGACAAATTTAAACTCGTTGTTGTCTGTAGCTCTTGGATCTTCTTTGTTTAGTGTAGAACTCTCCTAACTGGTTTATCAGCCTCATATTTCTCCCCCTTTCAGTTTTCTTCTGATAAGGCCCATACTGATGAACGATCATGTCCTCCCCAGTATTGGAGCCCTCTGATGCCTCCCTTCTTGTCCAGGAATAAGTGGCATGATTTGCCTTGGCCTGGCTTTCTCCCCCTTTTTATTTTTTATTACCTGTCTCCGTGTACCTTGTGTTTCTGCAGAGTGTTTCTGCAGAGTGTTTCTGGGATTTAGGGAAAGCCCTTTTGAAAATCCAATTAAAACTGTAGAATAGGCAAAATATCCTAAAGTTAATAATTGCTTTTTCATTTGTTTGCTTAGGCTGTTTTGTACCATTTGCCAATGCTTTCTGCCTTTCAGTCACCACTCAGGATAACTTTCCACAGGTCAACATGTCCAGGGATGTATCAGGTTCAGCTTTTCTCTTGGAGATATTTCTTCTAACAACTTGGATTCTCCTTTCTGGACAGATTGTTCTCTAGTCCTCCTGTGTGCCTGTTATGCTGAAATTTTCATGGCCTCCTTGGAATTCTCTTTGCCTTTCTCCCAGTTTAGATTCCTTGTTTCTGGGATCTTGTGTTTTGCTTTTTCTTAGTTTACTCCCTTGTTTGGGTGGAGTGCATCCTTCAGTAGCCTTGTCAGGTGAATATGACGATGCAGTGGCCAAGGACACTGTGATAACAGCTCTCAGGTGTTTGTCTCTTGAATTTTGCTGCTCTGGTTTGTACTAGTTGCCCTGGATACCTGGGGCACAACTGCCTTCTAGGACGTTGCACCATCATCATCCTCAGTACTTGCTTTTACCTCCATCTCCTGTTGGAACTCCTGTTTTCTGTGTCCCAGTTTTTCTCTCTTTAGTTTAATCCCATGTTTCAGTAGAGCACATTTTCTGGAAAATGCCTGAGAAAATGCATGTGGGAGGCCTGTGTGAGGTCTTGCTTGTCTTAAAGTGTTTTAATTCTGTCTTCAGACTTAATTGATAGTTGGGCTAGGTTTGGCATGCTAGACTGTAAGTAATTTTCCTCCAGAATTTTGAAGGTTTTGTTCTACTGCCTTCAAGCAGCTTTTGGGAAATCCAAAAGCCATTTTGATTCTGATTTTTTTTTTTTTTTAATATGTGACCTGTTTTTAATCCTCTAGAAGCTTGTAGAATCTTCCCTTTGGCACCAGTGTTTTAAAATTTCACAATGATGTGCTTTGCTGTGAGACCCTTTCCATCCAATGTAGTAGACACTTGCACACTTTTTGATTATGGAAGTTTATATGTTTTAGTTCAAGGAATTTTTCTTGAAATTTTTATTAATGATATTTCCCTCTCTGTTTTCTCTTATTTCCTGGAACTCTTGTCATTTATATGTTGTTTCCTGATCTGGTCTTCTTCCTTATTTTTTAAAAATCTTTTATATTTTTTAACATTCCCTTCCCCCCCACCCCCAACTTGCTAGGAGATTTACTCAACTTTATATTTCAACTTTTTGCCGAGTTTTTCATTTTTGTTATCATGGTTTTAACTTTGAGAGCTTTTCCATTTTTACCACTGTCCCTTTTTATGGTTTCCTGTTTTTTTTTTTTTTTTTTTTTTTTCATGGATAAATATATATTCTTTCTTTCTGAACACATTAATGATATTTGTTTCTGAAGTTTTCTTCTTGCAAAACTTGTAAATGGCCTTTTGGGGGTTGGGGGCTCTGTTTGGCTTTCTGCCTTTCCTGTCAAAGCTTTTTCTCAGAGAGTCCTTGGTTGCTGCTCTGCTTGTGTTTAAGGCTGGGGACTAAAGAACTGCTAAGTAATTGTGAGCACGTGGGTGGGCTTGTCAACTTCGAGGTTCATGGCTGGGAACCATGGGGGAACTCTGAATCTCGGTTACTTCAGGGTTAGTCTCTGAAGCTGGTCATTTTCCCCAGAGAAGATTATTAGATCTCCTGCCTGGACAATAAGTACCTTACTGCTAGGATCCTCGGAGAAGAGGACTGAGGCTGCCGTATGTAGGTTTAATCCCCCTTTTATCAGTAGGATATACTTGCTCTCAACTACGCCTATCTAAACAACTCTCTGTTTTTACCCTCGCCAAACAACAACCCTCCATTCTTCTATTGGGGTGACGTATGGATCGGTTGTCTGGTGGGACTGATAGGAGGGGATATAGGGAATGTAGCTGCGTCTTAAACATCATTCAGTCAGTTCCCTTATTTTAACTCCTTCTTCTTCACTTCTGGTTGGGAGATACCAGTTTCTGAGCTTTTGGAGGTCTGTGTGTTTTTGATCTGATTGGTTCTGAGCTTTCTCCTGTGACGGCTTAAGGTAGGATGCAGCCTTCACTGGCCTCTTTAGTCACATACCGCTGTCTGTCTTCTTTCCAGGTCCCAAATCTCATTATCCACGTCCTCATGGATTTAGGTCTTTGAAAACAATCTCTTGGCTGTGGCTTTAGTGGGATCCTGTGAGGAAGCAACATTAGATGTCTGTATCTACTGAGTTCTCTGTCTGGAACTTGCATTTGTCTTCAGGTTCCCACTGTAATTTCTAAAGCACCATAATCTCCTAGCATATTGATTGGTTGCTGTTATTGGCCAGCTCCCTCAGTACTAAAAAGTGAACTTTAAAAATCTTTTATTTTAGCAAATGTCACTGCTGCCTCCACTCCCACCCAACTTGGGCGATGCGACCGATTTGAATTTGAATGCCACCAACCAAAGAAGTGTATTCCCAACTGGAAGCGCTGTGACGGCCACCGAGATTGCCAGGATGGCCGGGACGAGGCCAATTGCCGTGAGTAGTCAGAAAGCTCTTCACCCCCTGGGCACATTTCTGCAGACAGCGCAGTTCTGGTGCTTCTGCTTCATTTCTGGATCAGCACACGCCTGTGTGTGAGTCTGTGTACTTTTGCGTAACCATGCTCTTACTACATTCTCCACAAGAGCTTTGCCACGTGCACCCATTCCGTTGCGTTAGTCACTTTCTTTTTAATAAGTTGACTGTGTTTTAAATACCAGGAGCGTGTCCAATAAAAATACTTTCTGAATGACTAAAATAAATATTTTAGATAGGTTTCCTAAGCATATTTAACTCTTTAAAAACACCCGTGGGGAAAGCCACAACTCTTCTGTATGTGCGTTCATTCTTCTGGAAGTATTTAGTGAGCACTTACTGGGCATAGAGGCCGTGTTGTTAGAGGGTTTGCCTCTAGCACCCCATTGAGAAAATTCATTCTTAGCCTTTAGGGTAATTATGGTTGGTGAGATAGTTGAGCCACACGGGGAATAATCGCAAGGCCATCTGAACCCAGTGTGAAGTGATGCATGCATACTCTACAGGTTTGGAGTTGGTAGTTTTCAAACACAGTGGGTCCTGGTGTTTGGTCCTCTGATGTACCCAGGGAGGATCTTTGGAGTGAGTGATGGAGGGAGACACTGGCTTCTGCAAGCGTTATCCTCATGTGACCAGTCAGCACTTTTCAGTCCCTGGCTGCATGCTAATGCCACCACTGGCTGGTCTGTCCTACTGTAGTGGACTAGGAAGGGCATGGCTGGAATGGTGCTTATGCAGCCCCTCACCAGCCTGCCTCCCTGATGGCTGGGTGCTGCTCTAGCTCAGGGATCCCAGCTTTGCGGGCCTCCCCTCCATCCAGTCTCCTGCTGGCTGCAGACAGCAGGTGTCCTAGCCAGTCACACTCCCTTCCTTGCCAGGATAGGGCTTCGTCCATGCTTGCCTGATCCCTGCCCTGGTGAATGTAGAGGAAGCTCCTCTCACTCTCTGCTGAGAGCCTCCCTGCCGCCAAGCCCTGACCCTAAGCAGCAAATGCCTCAGTTCCTCCACTTTGATCCCTGTTCTGGTCCCATTTTTTTTTAATCTTAAAATAATGACTTCCTCAACCAATTAAAAACTAAGCCTCGCTTGGAACCCTACTGAATCTTACCATTTAGAGATGGAATAGAATCTGAGGTGGAGGCTAGTCATCTCTTAATTCCTCTAATTCAGTATTTACAAAATTTATGGGACTTAGCAGGATCATGTGGAAGTGCTTATAAGAAATGTGAATTTGGTGATCTCACCTCAGACCACTGAATCAAGAGCAATGACGGAGGAAATGCTCGGGAACCCAAGCCTGGGATCTCAGCTCACTGCAGCTTCCGCCTTTTGAGCTGATGTGATTCTCTTGCCTCAGCCTCCCGAGTAGCTGGGATTGCAGGCATGCACCACCATGCCTGGCTAATTTTTGTATTTTCAGTACAGACAGCGTTTTGCCATGTTGGCCAGGCTGGTCTTGAACTCCTGACCTCAAGTGATCTGTCCACCTTGGCCTCCCAAAGTGCTGGGCCTAAGCCACCATGCCCGGTGACTGGCAATACAGATTCTAGTGGGAGGGACATCAAGTCAGCAGCTATCCTACAGTGTGGTGTGGGCAGTAGCAGAAGTTATCCAAGGAACTGGCATAGTTCGCAGGTGGCCCAGCTTCCTGGAGAGGTGGGGACAGGCCAGGAGAGGCAGCCCTATTGATGGTGCCTGGACAACGGTGGGACAAGGTGGCAGATGATGGGCATTCTAGACACAGGGGACAGCATGTATATTTCAAGGCTCAGAGGCATAGGAAAACAGACCTGTAGAGTGGTTGTGAGTGGGACAAAGGTGAGTGCAGAGAGGTAGGCATGAGGTGGATGGGGCGACCCCTGTGCTTCGAGTTTATTTTGCTGGTCCTAGGGAGCCACTGAAGATTTCAGAGATGGGGTGTTTATATCTTAGATCACTTGAACTTCATCACGCGGGGAATGGGTTAGAAGAAGGCTGAAGTGAGACTGGAAGCCAGGTGCCCGTTAGGAGGCTAATTTGATGGGACTGTGAAGGTGAAAAAGGGAGAGTGACCTCTTAATATATTGGAGGTACTATTAACAGTGTCCAGTGAGGTTTTTTTGGTTGTGGTGATTCGGAGAAAGGAAGAATGAAGGTTTCCCCCAGGATGACAGTGAAAGCTGATGCCACCAGCTATGCGGGGGATGCTGAGGATGAGGAGTCACAGCTTTCCCTGGGTGGGCCTAGGCACGATGGTGGGTTCGTTGATTGACATTAGCATCTGAGGCAGTGCAAGTCATCCTGGTACAAAGTGAAAAGGGAAGGTCAGAAACTGGGGCTTTGTTGTCTTCCTTTTCATTTTACTGCATTCGTTGTCTGTGCACGTGTCCTTCACTTGCCCGTTGGAATGAGCCTTTGCCAATTTTCACACGTTTGTTGTTCCTTATGATGATCTCTACAGTGATGGACTTTTGGAGACGAATTTCATTCTAGGCCTTGATGTGCTCTGAGTTGAGAGAAAAAATCATCTTGGCCAAGTCCTTAACTTGCAATATGAAACTAATTTATTTCCACCATGCATAGGTTTTTCTCTTAACACTTGGTTTTTCGGCAGGGGTCCCAGGACCCCCATCGTTCCTGCATCCTTTCATCTCCGGGAATGTCACTTTGGCTTTTGTTTCAGCTGCCTGAAGGGTCTTTTCTTTGACTAAAAGTCAAGGAATTGGATAAGTTGCTACCTAGGGTTCTTTTTTTCAAGAAACAGCCTTTGAGTCTTTCTAATTCTTCAATTTCTAAGGTAGGGTGATTTCTTTTTGCTTCGTTTGTTTATTTATGTGTTTATTTTAGTTTAGGAAAATCGTAAGGAATCTTTCATTACTAAACTATTCCTATTGGAACTCAGGAATTGAGCAGTTTCAGATCCATTTTGGGGATGGATTTCTCTCTGCCCAGAACATGCCCCTTGTTATCTGGAACCCAAGAACCAAAAAGATTAAGATGATTTGATATCTCTTGATACTTGCATATAAATCCATAGACATAAATACATAAATCTATTAAAATAAACCAAATAGGCCAGGCGCAGTGGCTCACGCCTGTAATCCCAGCACTTTGGGAGGCCGAGGCAGGTGGATCACCTGAGGTCGGGAGTTTGAGACCAGCCTGACCAATATGGAGAAACCCCATCTCTACTAAAAATGCAAAATTAGCTGGGCGTGGCGGCACATGCTGTAATCCTAGCTATTTGGGAGGCTGAGGTAGGAGAATTGCTTGAACCCAGGAGGCGGAGGTTGCAGTGAGCTGAGATCGGGCCACTGCACTCCAGCCTGGGCAACAAAAGTGAAACTCTGTCACATAAATTAAAAAATAAACCAAATAAATTCAGATGGTAAGGGATATTTTAATCTCCTTGGTTAACATTTCCATATTACATCTCTTTCTCATTTCTTTGTCATGTCTGTCAGTTATAAGGTTGAGCTTTGTCATTTGCTTTCAGAGTTAATGCAAGTTCACACAATTAAGTGTTTGGATTCACTGATAGAGTTTGTCTTCAATATAATTAATTTTCCTGCTGTGAACTTTTTTTTTTTTTTTTAAGTTGTGTGTTTAGCAGGATGTGGCAGCCTTTGATAAGCCTTAAAAGATTCTCGTTTCTCATTCTATCGCCTTATATACGGCTTTCGTTGTTATGCCTGTTTGCTTTCTTGCATTTTGGCTGTTTCGTTTTTCGCTTTGCTTTATCATAAGTGGTCTTTTTCAGGCTGCTTCTGCTTTGCTCTATTCGCTGTGGTAATATTTTCTGATGCTTTTTAAAGTGATCCTATCTTCTTTAATGACCAGATGAAAACTTGGAAGGCAATGCCTGTCATACTTGCAAATAATACAAAGTTGCCCAGATAGCTTATTTTCTGGCAAAACACTCAGGTTTTACAAAGGGAAGCTAAACGTTGGTGGTGGGTTTTAATGTGCTATTCATTATTCTCAGGCAAATCAGGTATTCATTCCACTTAATTCTCAAAATAACTGTGATTTTGGTATTATCTCCTTTGTTGAGATAGGAGAATTTAGGTTCCAAGAGCATCACCTAGCCAGTACCAGACTGGGTTATTTATTTAGGTTGAAAGCCGTGTTGAAAGTTCTCATCAGGGAAGAATACACCAAAACCAACACAGATGAACTGAATAGGGATTAGTGTGCAATTCTACCCTTACATTAAAAGAATGAACAAAGTGGACTCCTAGAGTGTTAAACCAACGGGGACAGGTTGGCCCCACACTCACCAAAATAACAGTGGGAACGTCTGAGCCGAATAAGCAACCACATAATAAGATGAACATTGGAGATAATTAAGAAAGAGAAAAGAAATGGGACCTCCCTCCTGGGTGATACTAATTCATTAATTGGCATTCTTGAAATCGTTTTTCAGCCTGTTTCCAATCTGGCTTATTCACGGGGATGTTGCCTAGTTAAGGGTCTTAAAATCAAGATGTGTTATATCCACAGTTTTTTTCCAACAATAATTTGATAACCTTATCTAAAAATGAAATGAGATGAGTGTGGTGTGATTCTTTTTAGAGAAGCTGTCCCCTGAAGGCTATTAAGTTCTGTTCTAAGTGCCTATTAATCATCTGTTTCATTATCAGTTTAAGAATTTTCAGAGATCAATGACAACCTTATTCCCAGATTCTTTTTTTTTTTTTTTTTTAAGAAACAGGGTCTGGTTGTGTTCCCAGGCTGGTCTCAGACTCCTGGACTCAAGCAATCCAGCCTCCCCAAGTAGCTGGGATTACAGGTGCACCCTACTGCACCCAGCTTATTTCCAGAGTCTAAAGCCCGTGCTGTTTTGCTCTTAAAATTTTGAGACACACTTTATAAAGAAACCTCCAACGTCCTCAGCTCCACTGCTTAGCTGTTGTTTGATTGTATTTTACCACATTGTTCCCCAGTGGAATACTTCTGTGATGAGGGTTTTGGTATTTTTCAAAATAATCCCCTCTGAACAGAGTCTGTCCCTGGCAATCCTATAAAAAATGGCATAACCTGATCAGATTAATTTACTTGTTTGCAGTCTCTCTCAATAGAAGATAAGCTCCATGAGGGCAGGTCCTTCATCTGTTCCACATATCCCCATACTCTTAACGTCTGGAGCAGTGCCTGAGTCATGGCAGGACCTCCATGAATGTTCGCTGGATGGATGAATTCCATCTTGGGCTTCTGAGACTATTACAGTAGTGGTTCTCAAACCTTTCTTTAATTCTTGAATACACATTTGTTTGTTACGAGCTTCCCCCCACCATGGCAAACCAGTTACATCTCAGTATATAATAGAATTCTGAAATGCAGTGATCTTCCTGGAGATTGGGGGATTACAGTTTGTGAAAAGCCTTATAAGTGGTTTTGCTAGGTCCCTTCTCCTGTTGACAGTTTCTGTATCAGAATTGTTTTTTAATAAGTAGTGAACTGAAGTCTGTACCTCCATCCTGGAGACTCGTGCAAAGAAGTCCTAATTCTTCTTTCTCATGAAAACTCCTCAGCGGAGAACACTTGTTAGAGTCTGCATGTCTTCTCACCACCTCCCCTATCCTTGTATCTTTTCATCTCTAGGAAAATATCTCTGGATCCTTTATCCATTCCTCTTGAGCATCCTTGTTGCTCTCATGGGAACATTATCCAGTTTCTCTACCTACGTCTCAAAGTGTGGTTGTTTATGTTAGCAGAAAGGGAAAGAGAGAGGGGGTCGAGGTCAAGAGGTGACCCATGGCCACATGCCTGGGTCTGAGGTGGGGCGGATGAAGCTTCCTTGCTCAGGTCACAATGCTCATATCACCTTTAACATAACCTTGTTACTTGTGTGAACACACTCCTTATTTCCTCAGGGGTTAGTTTCAGGAAGGGACTATTATCATCGTTGCTTTAAAATTAAACTATAAACAAAATTCCTTCCATAGTTAGCTTGGCCTATGTGCCGTGCCGAGATAAGCAGAGGCTGTTAACCTACAAGATGTCACCACGGGCACGGGGCAGGGTGCGGGGAGCAGAATGGAGCCACTCATGTTCGGCCTCCTTTTGTCTGTTGTAATTTCCCCATTTTCAAAGCCAGTGATGTTGCATGTCTCTCACCTTTCTTCTGTTTTCTCTCTTTCTCTCATCACAACCAGAAAAGGGTCTCTGCTTTTAAGGACCCAGGTCATTAGACAGAACCTACCTGGATAATCCAGGGTGAACTCTCCTACTTCCGGGTCCTTAATCTAATCACACCTACAAAGTGGCTTTGTTACATAAGGTAACATATTACAGGTTCCAGGGATTAGGATGTGGACCTGTTTGACTTGGAGGAGCAAGATTGATTTTAGACCCTCATCACTGGTGGCACTGGATTTCTGATGTAGCCCTTCGTTGTCCAGGACTGGGCAGGCAGGTGTGAATCTGTATAAGGAAGGCCTCAAATTACCGTTCCTGGGCTCACCCAGGTACATAGCGGATTTGTACCACCCAGGTACACAGCCTGCATAGCAGATTTGCTGTCTATAGCCATTCTCACCTTGTCTCTTTTCAGGAGGATTTGCAATTTTATGGTGATTGCTTTCTTTTGAGAGCCTCCCATGCAGTTTAAATCTACTTTCAGAACCGGAGAGCACATCACATTTTGGTCAATAGCCTAGCCATACAATTGAGTAACCCTTAACTTACCGATGCTCATTATTTGCATTGTTTCATTTTCCGTGAAAGTACTTTGAAAAGCCAAACAACTTAAAATACTACATAAAGTACGCATGCCTCTTAATATTGTTGGGATTCATCTCATTATTATTTCTATTACTCAAACCAGAAATCAGCTCCTCTTTCTGGATTGCAAACTAATAATAGCAGCAGAATAATAGTACTGTAGAGTAATAGCTACAGCTTGTTGATGCTGGCCAGGAACCAGGCGCTATTCCAGGTGTGGGATCCCGTTAGATCCTTGTAGACACGACAGCGATGGAATTGTTACTTCCATTTTTTATAGGGGAACTGAACTTGGGTGATGTTAAGTGATTTGCTCAAACTCACGCAGATCTAGGGTTTAAACTCTAGTTTGTTTGACTCCAAAGGGCTCCCTCTTCCTGAATGCAGATTCCAATTGTTAATGTTAGATGTTAGATGTTAGTGCCGGTATAGATTCCACCACTGGTCATTCCAGAGGTGTGTTTTGAAGCAGAAGCCTATTAGTACTTTGCCTAAACCCGAATAAACCTGGGCCCAGCCTTTAGTACCATACGGCCTCTCCCCATGGGTTTAAGAAGCCTCTCTGTGTTTCAGCCACACACAGCACCTTGACTTGCATGAGCAGGGAGTTCCAGTGCGAGGATGGGGAGGCCTGCATTGTGCTCTCGGAGCGCTGCGACGGCTTCCTGGACTGCTCAGACGAGAGCGACGAGAAGGCCTGCAGTGGTGAGTGCCGGCCCGTGGGCTGGGCTGGGCTGGGCTGGGCTGGGAGGCTCGCTTACCCCAGGGCCCCTCCCGTGTAGATCTCGAGCTAGGACCCTTTTGAACTGTTCCTCAATCTGAGGATGAAGCAGATTTGTGCCTAGTTTTGGAGCCCCAAGTGAGGTGAGCCTTGGCCAGAGTCTGATATAACGTGCAGCTGTCTCCTCCCTGTTAGTGAAAAGCTGGTCTTGGATTTTTTTTTTTTATGGACTCCCCACCTCATGTCCATACATCATGACTCTCATAGTCTCAATCTGCTGGTGGAATTAACTCTGTTCTTATCTCAGGAGACCCTAGGAGGGATTGTATAGGGAGGTTTCAACTACATTTTCTGAGATTTCTTTTCGGATATCGATTACGATCTCCTGATAATCTAGATCGCAGTGGTTCTGTTTAAAAGCAGGAGTCCTCTGAAATCTAAGGATTTGTAAGATGTAACATTTTGTTGTTATTGTTGTTGTATTTTTAGTAGAGATGGGGTTTAGCCATGTTGCCCAGGCTGGTCTCGAACTCCTGAGCTCAGGCAATCTGCTCGCCTCAGCCTCCCAAAGTGCTAGGATTACAGGCGTGAGCCACCACGCCTGGCCGAGATGTAACTTCTTTTGACTTTTTCTCCTTTATCTCTCTAGATGAGTTGACTGTGTACAAAGTACAGAATCTTCAGTGGACAGCTGACTTCTCTGGGGATGTGACTTTGACCTGGATGCGGCCCAAAAAAATGCCCTCTGCTTCTTGTGTATATAACGTCTACTACAGGTGGGTCCCGTCTTTGCCACGGGAGATGAAAATGATGTCTTCATTGTCCCAGGATGCTCTGAAAGCTCTCTAGTGGCGTGCACCATGTTCTTAACTGAGTCAGACATCTCAGCCCCCTGTGCTGCTCCCGTGTGACAATATCTTTATTTTTTTGGGCCAGGGTGGTTGGAGAGAGCGTATGGAAGACTCTGGAGACCCACAGCAATAAGACAAACACTGTATTAAAAGTCTTGAAACCAGATACCACGTATCAGGTTAAAGTACAAGTTCAGTGTCTCAGCAAGGCACACAACACCAATGACTTTGTGACCCTGAGGACCCCGGAGGGATGTAAGTGTTTCAGTTAATTTTTATGGCGTGTGTGAGACCTCAGGTGGGGTTTTGTGAGTGTCTTTCCGAGTATTCTCAGGAATGTGGGGACACCCGTGTGCCTCACGTGTACAGAAGTATTGTGGCTAAGCTTTATAGTCTTGCGAGAGCTGTCAAACAGCTCTTCTCCTTACTGCATCAGAGACTGTTCTTGTACCTTAAGTTAATTTAAGATTCTCTTCACCATTGTCCTCTTGCATTTTTTGTCTAGTTCCTACCTCTACCTTCCTTCTCTAGATATTTCCTAGTACTTGGTACTTGGGAGGTCATCGTCATTAAAATATGAGGCATATCAGCAATTTTGTGGCTAAGTTTTTTTTTTCTTTTTGGAGACAAGGTCTCACTCTGGCACCCAGACTGGAGTGCCGTGGAGGCACAATCACTGCTCACCACCTCAGTCTCCCCGGGCACAGGTGCTTCTCCCGCCTCAGCCTCTCGCATAGCTGGGACTATAGGTGTGTGCCACCATGCTCAGCTAACTTTTTATATTTTTGTAGAGATGGGGTTTTGCCGTGTTACCCAGGCTGGTCTTGAACTACTGAGCTCAAGTGATCCACCTGCTTCAGCCTCCCAAAATGTTGAGATTACAGATGTTAGCCACTGCGCCTGGCTTTGTGGCTACGTTTTTAAGAAATTTACCAAATTTATGTGTCTAAGAGAGTTCCTCACCTCCTCCGTAGTTGACATGAGCAACTGTCTGCTTGAATGTCATCTTTTTCCATTGCCTAAAGTATCTTGAATATGCTAGCACTGAACTCATTAAGGAGCCTGCTTTGAAGATGATCACATTCATTTGGATATAGAAATTCTGTGATGTTACAAAATTAGTCTTATTTTTTGGTAGTCATGCCCACAGTACTCTGTTTTTCTTGTACAAGAAGCAGAGGCAGCAGGTGCTGTCATTGACAATTAAGATCTGAGCATTGAATTCATAGGGTCAGTGGTGACTCAGCCTGCCCAAGTGATTCTATCCTGCCGCCCTTATGAGCCACAGATTTACCACACACTCAACTAAGCCATGATGTGACGTGTGGACGGCACACCTTGCTTTTTGGAAGAAGAGGAAAAGTGTCTTGTCAGTGTGAAGACCAAGCTAGCAGCATTTCTAGTGGATAGTCTCAGTGCCGGCTGTGGAGTCTTTCTTGTCCTTGTTCTAAGCCCGGGAAAATTCCTCTGGTTGGCCGCTAGGCAGATGGGTTTTAACGTTGAGTTGACTCTTCTTCTAGTGCCAGATGCCCCTCGAAATCTCCAGCTGTCACTCCCCAGGGAAGCAGAAGGTGTGATTGTAGGCCACTGGGCTCCTCCCATCCACACCCATGGCCTCATCCGTGAGTACATTGTAAGTATCTTCCAGGAGTTGGCCGTATGTGTGTTGGGGGGGCTAGGAGATTTCTGGGTGTTCTGTATGAGTAGGGGTTGATTTGGTATAGCTTTGTAGGTGATGACCCATCTCTCAGAACATTCTGCTCCTCACCTTCTTTTCTCTCCTCCCACCTCCTTGCAAGGTATTAGGATGCCCTGGACCATTGGTTCCCTTTCCTCACATTTTTTTTCCTTCTCATTTTAGGTAGAGTACAGCAGGAGTGGTTCCAAGATGTGGGCCTCCCAGAGGGCTGCTAGTAACTTTACAGAAATCAACAACTTACTGGTCAACACTCTATACACCGTCAGAGTGAGTGTCGCCGTCCATTCCAGCCATCCACGCAGTCTTAGAACTGAGCGAAATTGCTGCTATTTTGTGAGAACTCTCTACTCACCTTTATGAGATGCGTATTACTCATCTGCAAAATACCCAACTTCTTGTCCTGGGACAGGGGAGCTCAGAGTTTCTTTCAGTCTCTTAAATGGACGCCACAGAGAGCTTGACGTCAGAGTTTCTGTCAATAACGGGGCGTTTATGGGAATGCAGCTTCCCTGCTTTTAACTCCGAAATTCTGCTAGCTTTCCAGCTCCTGTACTTTTGCACTCAGCTCTTCTCTGCTTATCTTTAGCTGCAGGATGATGCAGAGCTATGATAAGTAGTCTTTCTACACTGATTTTGTGAGGTTCTTATGAAATATATTTTTAGTATTTTTTAGCAGAAAGGGATAGATTTTGTGTAAAGCATGTTTGCTAAGACCATTAAGTGTACACATTCGTGACTCTCACACTGATCATTTTGTCAGCACCCTTTTTATATATGTGTCTATTTATGAACCTCCTCCCCCATACACCTGCCCTTTAGAAGAACCTTGATATTTGTCGATCAATAGACATTTCCTGATCTCAGGACTGTCATAATGCCCTTTACCCAAGCTCCTTCCCTCGGGTATTTTGCCGTCTTATTTCAGATGCTGGCACCTCTGAATATTCTGGATCACTCTGTATAAAATTTTTCCACCCTTACTGCCAAAATCTCAGCCCTTTAACTCATTCAGTATTCTTGCTGTGTGGTGTATTGCCTTTATGTCATACTAATTCCCCCTCTGATTTGAAAAGGTGGCTGCGGTGACTAGTCGTGGAATAGGAAACTGGAGCGATTCTAAATGCATTACCACCATAAAAGGAAAAGGTAAATGATCCCAGCCTTTGCAGATTTAGAGAAAATATTATAGAAACCCTTTCAAATGACTTTCAGTATGACTAGAAAATGGAGAAGCGTAGGTCAGAAAAACATCACACAAATTCCTTCTCCCCAACACATGCACATTTCTGGGTGTCTCTGTAGTGCTTTAGATACAAAGTCTTTTTGGGGTGACTGAGTGTGTTTTTCCTCCTAGAACTGAGCATTTCTTCTAATGCAGACATACAAAGGGATTTCCAAAGGCCATCGTGCCCAGCCCTTTGTGAGTAGTCACAATATCTAAAATAGAAGGAGTCCTTCCTTCTCACCAAAGCCGAAGATGATTTTGTGCATGTTCATTTATGGTGTTTTAAAGAAAGCACCATGCTGAGTCTTGTTATTCTCCCAGTGGCACTGGCAAACTGTGTGTAGGTGGTTTTTTATCTTGTACTAGAGCTGATATTAGTAATAACTGATGGCTTGCCAAGGGCAGGACACTCTAGAGTGTTCACTGCTTTGCGTACATCAGCTCATCTAATTGAATGGTCAGAACAACTACAAAAAAATATTAGGAACTTGAATGAGGTTATGTCACTTGCCCCAGGACACACAATCAGTAAGTGACAGAGCTGGCACTGGAACCTGATCTGCCTGACTCCAAAGCCTGTGCTCTTAACCACTATGCTCCACGCTTCTCTCTGGGCTGAGACACATGCGGCCTACTGGACCGCCCTGCTTGCCGGGGGTGGCGGGCTCAGCATCTTGCACGAGTGCCTCATGAGGGCAGAGATCTGGTCTGTTTTTCTCTACTCTATCATGGGCATCTAGTAGAGACTAAGGAAATGATTGATGAATGAGTGAGTCGAACCAGTTAAATGAAGGGTTCTGGCATACTTTGGGGGATGGACTACAACTCATTTTCCAGAGTGGTTTTCCGGACCTTTGCCGTGGCACTGGGGACTTGCATTTCTGGATTTCCAGGTATTAAAACCGGGTGGACACTGTGGCATGCAATAGGACTGGAAGATTTTACTTTAACCTAAGCCTGTGAGGAATAGGCTCTGGGTCATGGAGAGTCACTATCTGGTCCCCTCTAAAATCTGGAGCCTTTGAGATCAGGGCCCAAGGCGGTCAAACATAGTGCCACCAGATGGTCTTCGGAGCTGAATGCTTGCAGGTATTCGAGAAAGCCTGCTGAATTCACACTCTCCTAGAATTTTTATTGTTTTATGACTTCTCTCTACAAAGTCTGTTCCAAAACACTGACCACACGTACCAAGAAAAACGGATGTTGGAAGATCGACCAAAAACATGTACCTTGAATTCCAAAGGCACAAGTCACAACCACATTTGAAAATCTCAGTGGGTGGTTGCTTCTCTTTAACTTCTTTTCTGTGATTTTGATGAATCTCAGCTCCTTGCATATATTTGGGCTAGGATTTATACAGAAGGCAGCTGTGTGCCACATCCAAAAGGTGTTTGTTGTAAAATGTCTATGACCTGGTATCATAATAATATTTTAAGATGAAGGACAAAGACAGCAGAGGCATCAGCCAGACGTGCCAGGTTAACTGGTGAACGTCGTGGATTAGTAATGACAATGAGAAAAGCCACCATTCCCTGAGCACTTGTTATACACTAGCACCGTGCTATTGTTGCTCATGAATTGGTCTCTTATTAATCCTCATGAATCCTATGAGATAAGTATCCTTATCCTCATTGTGTCGCTGAGGAAACTGGGGTTTGGAGTGGATTGTGACTTGTCTGTGGCTGCCATGATTATAATTCAAGTCAGCTTTACCATATGCAGCATCCATAGTGTTTTGTTCTGTGTTGGCCGCCTGAAGCTTCCAATCTCCTTTCTTCTTCCAGTTGTTGAATTTTCCTGAAGTCAAGTTTTATTACGTGATTGATCATCTGGACAGACCTCTTCAGACTTTGGCACATCTCTTTTGCCACCAAATCTTATCTGCTCCTTTGAGTCTCTCTTGCCCAGTCTATAGAAGGGGCATATATGCGGAGAGTCTAATATGCAAGTTGTCATTTAAATAATATTTTCTGATAATATTGATCCATTGAGCTCTTTTAGATCATGCTGGGCCGAGCACTGTCAGCCTTCTGGTGGGAAGACCTTCCAGAGGACGAGCATGGCGCTCACTGGCTGAAGTGAGAGGGGTCTTTTCCTTGGCCACTTCTCCTTGCCCTATCAACTCTCAGCTTGAGCTCCGGTCTTTTTGAGAGCGCCAGTTGGTTTCTAGTTGTTTAATTGGCCCTATGTGAGGTTATATTGGAAAGGAAGAGAAAGAGAGGATCAGTTGAGTGCTAGGCACCATACATACATTATTTTAGTTAACCTTCCCAGCTCTGTGAAATGCGGATAACATCTCTAGGCTCCAGGAAGATAAGTAACTTGCCCAGGTTACACAGCTACCAGAACAGGAATTCGTATCTGTCCTCCTCACTCGGGTTTGCCAGATTCCAGAGGCCACATTCTTTCCATTTTGCTACACGCACATCTACCATTTATGATTTACCCCATTGTCAGCCTTCCGAAAGGACTTGAGATTGGTGGGACTTCGTTAGTGCCAAGTGAGACGCCACTCGCAGTGAATGATCCCTGTGCCTTTAAGAACGAGGCTGAAGCTGGGCTGTTTTGGGACCTTTACAAAATGGAACTTTTCTGCCTGACCTAATTGCCAGGATAGCTGACTGAGCCAAGATAGTTTTGTGTTCACCAAGCAACTGTGGACCAACCTTAGCTTCGGGAAAACAGTGGTAGAAAAGATAGATGAGGAACACTGCCAAAGAAATACCCTTTCTTCCCCGACTGAAAGATGGCTTTGTCCGTTGAGTTGAAAACTGTTAAGTCCTGCCTTCCTCGCTTTTCATCACGTGGCTTCTGTTTTTGAATTCCTTTTTGTTTTCAGTGATCCCACGACCAGATATCCACATTGACAGCTATGGGGAAAATTATCTAAGCTTCACCCTGACCATGGAGAGTGATATCAAGGTAATGTGGGAATTTCAAACCAGCAGCTGGATGGGGCTTTATTTTGTATGGGAACTGAAAGGACATAGCACAGTAAGGCTGACAAAACAAAAACAAAAACAAAAACAAAACGAACGGCTAGATCTAGTGAAGCTAAAATACCAGAACTAGGTGGTTCCTTCCCCCCATGAAGAATAACTTGAATCTTCGCATGTAATTATTCTGCCTCAGCCTGGTGCCTTTTTTTCCTTAACCATATAATTAAATGGTTCACAGCAACAGTGCAAATAAAGAGTTGGTGTTAACAGAATATGTATGCCCTGTAATTTTCAGCTTTATTGGATTTCCTGGTGCTAAGCGCTAATGCTGAGGTACTCACAGTGGAAGAACAACCTTCTTGTGGGAGAGTTGGATACCTTGGAAACATATTCACTTTCCATCCACCTAAGATCTTCCTCTTCCAGCACCGCCCTCGCTTCTATTGGCCCTCTGCGTAGCCGACTTCGCCATTGTTATCTGTGCCCATGTGGTTCCTCAAGCTGAGATCCACTTTCCATAGTGTTCCTTCTTATCTGTCCCTCCTCACAGCCTCTCCAGCGATGAAGCTGTGTTGGGACAAGCAGCCTTCAGAGTCCTTGTGCCATTTACTTAACTACCATTTAGTGTCATGCCCTTAGCTTCAGAATGGGTTGATATAAGAAATGGTCTTGGCCGGGTGTGGTGGCTCACGCCTGTAATCCCAGCACTTTGGGAGGCTGAGGCAGATGGATCACCTGAGGTCGGGAGTTTGAGACCAGCCTGGCCAACATGGTGAAACCCGTCTCTACTAAAAATACAAAAATTAGCCAGGTGTGGTGGTGCATGCCTGTAATCCCAGCTACTTGGAGGCTGGGGCAGGAGAATTGCTTGAACCTGGGAAATGGAGGCTGCAGTGAGTCAAGATCATGCCACTGCAGTCCAGCTTGGGCAACAGAGTGAGACTCTGTCTCAAAAAAAAAAAAAAAAAAGAAAGAAGAAAAGAAAAAGAAATGGCCTTATGTGGTTCTTGTCTTGTAATCTTTGATCTTGAAAATATTTTTGTTTGTTCGTTGTCCCATATTTAAAGATCTTTAGATCAAATCCTTTTATGAGCTCAGGACTTGGAAAAGGTAATCTTTCCTGATGGGTGGATGTATTTTTGGTAGTTAGACAATGAGATCCAACCAGCCTGTTTTGGGTGGATTGGCCTCATGGCCTTGACTGCAAGGACTTATCCTTAATTTCCACAGCCTAATTATCTTTCCAGTGTTTCCTCTTTCTACCTTTGTTAATTGTTTATTATTCTTTTATTCTTCATTCATTTTTTTATTGCATCGAATTTATAAATTAAACATGGTCTGCTATTTGTTTTTAGAAGTAGGTGGAGTATAACTAAATATTAGCTGATGGTAGCACAAATAGAACCTGTTTAAAAATTTTAAAAAACAACCTGTTCAGTGTAAGAAGCGAGATACCCAAGGAAACAGCAGAAAAGAGGTGTATTTTTAATCCTGCCTTTTGTATGTGGTGTGCCGCATGACTAGCTGTTCATCTAACATGCTTCTTCATTCTTGGCAGGTGAATGGCTATGTGGTGAACCTTTTCTGGGCGTTTGATACCCACAAGCAAGAGAGGAGAACTTTGAACTTCCGAGGAAGCATATTATCACACAAAGGTAACACGCTGGTGCTGGTCAGTGTGTGAGCAGGAAGGAGTAAGGCTGGACCGACGCCTTCCCACCATAGAGCTTGATTGGGGGTGCCAGGGAACGGGAGGTATTCTCTGGAAGCTGTTCTGCGTTGACAGGTTCTTGTGCATTGAGGATCCTGTAAGTCTGCTGCTGATCCTAGGCAGAGGGCTTCCCTCGGTGGCCCCTCGAGCCCTCCTCCAACCTCATGACTCTTAGTGGAAGTTGGGGGCCATAAGGAGGAAAATTGGACAGAGGCAAGACTAATTCTCTGCAGATGAGTTTTGATTTCCAAAATAAATAGTTCTTAGATGTAGACAGTTTCCTGTCTCTCTTTTCTATTCCGTTGCTAATGAGAGACAGCAGAAGGCCTTATGCATAACTGGCGTTCAGTAAATATACGTTGCCTGGAGAAATGAACAAAAAGTAAAGGAGGAGTGGTCCAGTCCTTGTTACATATGTACCAGCAGCAAGTCTCAGCTACAATTCCTCTATCTAAACACGTGCTACAGGACGGATTTTAATTTATTTCTAAGTGGCAAAAGCTGACTGTGATTGTTGAGAATGACTTGGGAGCTTCTTCCTGTCTCCATCTTCTAGTCGTGAAGTACTTTCAGTCATGTTTTTATTTAGTCCTTGTCATAGCCTTATAAAATAGAGACTACAAATATTCTATTGTTACTTTTTTTTTTTAACTGAAAGTCTACAAGGTACCCGAGGAGGTTGTTATTGGTACTCTTGCACATGGAGCACCTACCATGTGCAGGCATTTACATAGGCATTCTATGCATATTATTTACATAACCCCAAGTATAATTCCATGAGATATGGGCGCTTTACAGAGGCAAAACTGAAGTTGAAAGAATAAATCATACTGTCAGATGGTGGCAGAGCCGGGACTGGAACCCACATTTTTCTAACTCCAAAGCCTATGATCTCATGGCCTCAGTGTTGTCCCAGTAGAAACTGGCAGAGTCAGGAGCAGAAGTCTTAACTAGCTGTTGTCTGAAATCTGTTAGGGCTAGTGCCATGCTAGGCATTATGCCAAGCACTTTATAAGCATTTTCTTTTTTTTCTCCCTGTAAGCCAGCAGCTGCTGTAAGTGCTGTTATTTTTTTCTCCATCTCACCAACAAGGAAATAGAGAGTTTAAATACTTTATCCAAGGTTAGACAACCACAAAGTATGCAGTCAGGCCTTAAACCCCAGTCCTTCTGATTCCAAAGGCTATCCTGTTAGCGTAGCCTCCCCCTTCTCACTTTTCTTTTAGTTTTATTTATTTATTTATTTATTTGAGATGGAGTGTCGCTCTGCCACCCAGGCTGGAGTGCAGTGGTGCGATCTCGGCTCACTGCAAGCTCCACCTCCCGGGTTCACACCATTCTCCTGCCTCAGCCTCCTGAGTAACTGGGACTGCAGGCGCCCGCCACCATGCCCAGCTAATTTTTTGTATTTTTAGTACAGATGGGGTTTCACCGTGTTAGCCAGGATGGTCTCGATCTCCTGACCTCATGATCCACCTGCCTCAGCCTCCCAAAGTTTTGGGATTACAGGCGTGAGCCACCGCGCCGGGCTTCTTTTAGTTTTAATAGCCTTTCCTCTGATTAGAAAGGGGATACATATTTGTTTCAGAAAATTGAGAGCACAAAAAGAGTGTAATGAAAATTAAAGTTGCCTGTAATTTCACTTTTACATTTCAGATGTATTCTAATATATTTTTCCGTGGATTGATCTCTATGTCTTTTTTATAAAATCAGAATAATGCCATATATAGTATTATATCCTGCCCTTTTCACTTAACATACAATTGTGAGAATTTTCCAGTGTCATCAAATATTTTTGAAACAACTTTTAGTGCCTGCACAGTAGTTCATGGAACGCACATTATTTAATTATTATCCTGTTACTGGACAATCAAATTACATTCAGTTTTTTCCTATTGTAACACTGTGATGCGAATCCTTATTATACACACTTTCGAGTCTTTCTCTGACTTCATAGGATAACTGGATTGAAGGGTATGATTTTCAAGGTTCTTGTTATACAAGGCCAGATGGCTTCCAGGAGCATCATACCAACCCATATCCGTGGATGGGCAGCTTTAAGGAAATTACCCAGTGCCTGTGCAGTGTGTTATGTACGGTTGTCATCAGTGCATAAACGTTGAATGAATTTGTCATCTAATGACAGTCCTACAGTACATGGGACTCATTTAAATTGAGAGATGACTATTTTTTTAAGAAGTGTGTGTACCAAGACACATTCTTGACTCACACCCCCAGCTTCCTCCCGGAATCTCCTTTTCCTGTTTTCACAGTTGGCAATCTGACAGCTCATACGTCCTATGAGATTTCTGCCTGGGCCAAGACTGACTTGGGGGATAGCCCTCTGGCATTTGAGCATGTCATGACCAGAGGGGTTCGCCCGCCTGCACCTAGCCTCAAGGCCAAAGCCATCAACCAGACTGCAGTGGAGTGTACCTGGACCGGCCCCCGGAATGTGGTGAGTCAGCCAGAATGACCATCACAGAGTGAGTGTGAACTGTCTCCTAATGCTGCGCCACCACACAACTCTAGCGCTTTTCTGTCTTTTGCAAATGTTCCAGTGTCCCTGCTGCTCTTGGATATAGGCCTTTCTTTTCCTTTGTTTTCGTATGTGCATTATGATTCACTGTGAGCAGATCTGTGCTCCTTTTTCAGTCTAGTGTTTCACTTTCCACTCCTCCCCAGTGTGTCCCCTTTGCTTTTAGGTCGACCGTCCCGAGGCTGTTGGCACGTTCATCCCCCTCTTGCCTCTCTGTACTTGGCTTATGCCCTTTCTCCTCCTTGGAGTCCTTTCCTCCTCCTGCTATGCAAGAAAATTCTCCCTTCTATAATTGATCTCTTTCCCTATGAACTCCTACTATATTTATAGTTGGTTCCATATAGCATGATATTTCATTAAATACCGCCTTACCCTATTTGATAATTTCTGTCTGTTACTCTTATCTTCCTAACTAGTTTGTAATTTCCTTGAAGGGAAGGATTGTTTTCTGGATTTTCTCAATGGAAAAACCTATAGAAGTAAATTTATAATCAGGAATTAGTAAATCCTTAGTGATGAGTGGAGGAACTACCCACGTCTGGTCTTCTGAGGATATCTTCAGTGTGCATTTGGCACAGGGCTGATTTATAAGGAAATAACCAAAGTTTGCAAGTAATCGTCTATAAAATCAGTGAAGAAGAAGGAAGGAGAAATTAAGGTTTACTGAGCAGCCAGTATGTGCCAGGAACAATACAAAACCCGATAAACCCATGCTCCCCCTTATTCCTTTTATTGGTTCTGTGGGTAAATATTCCCATTTTGCCAGCGAGGAAACTAAGGCTCAGTGAGGCTGAGTAACTTGCTAGAGTTAAAACGCTCACAAGCAGTAGATTGAGTTTCAGTTCAGGTCTGGCTAATTTAACAGCCTCTGCTCTTTCGTATGTCCCAGCACCTGAAGCTGAGGCAGGGACAGTGATGAGAAGCCCTGACCCATCCCCGGAGCTCTCTTTTACCTGAAAGTTGAGTCTACTCACAAAGCACCCTTTCTTTCCATTTACATACCCGGCAGCACGTGACCACCTCATCACCCCCAACTATCTGTCCAGAGCAGGGCAATTGCACAGAACACTGAAGCCTGACTTGGTTTGGTGTCTGTAAGTGTGCAATTCCTGCACCTCATCCCAGCTCATGCGCTGGTCACACTAAAGGTGGCTTTCAGAGGTGAGAGTGTAAATGAGATCACCTGTAGGAAGCTCTCTGTTTCCACCCCTCTTTAGTTCACTGAGGACCCTGACAGCTCTTATGGTTTTCCTGTCTACTATGAGAAGTACCATTGTCACTGTGCATGTGGGGAGCCTCTCATCCCTTGGCTCCCATAGCTCTGTGGTCCCCTTTCCTCTCCAGAGACACCCCATCCAGGGCGGTCACCAGCTTGTCCTCGGTGATGTCATCCTACCTCTGTACTCTAAGCCCCCACTTGGCCTACTGCCACCTCATGCTTTGCAGCTCCATTTGCATTTGCTTTGGGACTCCTTTGAGTCCCTCAGCACTTATCTTTCTTACATCCTCCCAGGCGATCACCGTCTTCAAGGTTTCCCTTCCTCTTTCTCTGTCTGTGCTCTCCTGTCTGTCTGTCCTTTTTCAGCTGTCAAAAAACAGTCAGACTCTGTAAAATATAGGAAAAGATTTATTCTGAGCCCAATATGAGTGACCATGGCCCGTGACACAGCCCTCAGGAGGTCCTGAGAACAAGGTGGCCAGGTGCAGCTTGGTTTTATACATTTTAGGAAGGCATGAGACTTTAATCAAATACATTTAGGAAATACACTGGTTTGATCCAGAAAGACAGGACAACTCAAAGTGGGCGTGATGAAGGTGGGGTTTCCAGGCTATAGGTAAATTTAAACATTTTCTGGTTGTCATCTGGTTGAGTTTGTCTGAAGACCTGAGATCAACAGAAAGGAAATGTTTAGGTTAAGATAAAAGATTGTAGAGACCAAGGTTGTTTTGAAGTCTTTTAGTGGCTGCCCTTAGGGGAAATAGATGACAAATGTTTCCTATGTAGATCTTTAAAAGGAGCAAGACTTTTAGTTAACGTCTTTAGGATTGGGAGGGCCTGGAAGAAAAAGATCTAGCTATGTGAATAGAGATTCTTTACAGATGTGAATTTTCCCCCACAAAGGACAGCTTTGCAGGGCCTTTTCAAGCTATGACAAAGAAATATGTTTTGGGGTAAAATATTTTGATTTTCTTCCTTGTCTCATGATGTTATGCCAGGGTCAAGTTGGAAAGTAAGTCCGATATATAGGATGAAATGAAACCCATCTAATGAGAATTTATGGTTTGTAGGGCGTGACTCCCCAGACCCCTTAGAGAGGAATTTGGTCAATATTTTAAAAATCAGAGCTTAGTCCTCACAGCTGCTGAGCAGTGTTGGAGAAAGTCACCCTGTTGCCTGGGACTTGGAAATCCCTTTGTGGATCCCTGCTCAGTTCCTGCTCATCCCATGGATCCTGCAGCTCCTACAGTTCTCTTCAAGCCCCTGTCTTACCTGTGCACAGAACTCTTGGAGAAAATTCTCTTTGATTCTGCCTTACAGAGAAAGCTTCCTCAGCTCCCACCCTCCAGTAGTAAACTCCCTCGGCTTCCACTTTCTGCCGTAAGCTTCATCCCATTCCCACTTGCCTGCTTGAAACTCCCTCAGTTTCCAATGTTTACCAGCTAGGACTACGCAGGGATGCATAGAGCAGAGGAAGTGACAGTAACAGTGGCTTTGAACAGTTTATTTCCTCTCGTAATTAAAAGAAGCTTAGAGTTGAGCAGTACAGGGCTTCTGTCAGAGCAGCACGATTTGATCGGGCACCCGAGCCCTGTCATCTCCAGCCTGTGACATGCGTCTTCAAGCTTACCTCATGGTGCTGGGGCTGCAGTCATGATCTCTATTCCAGGCAGCCGGAGGGCAGGAAGAAGGGCTCCTCCCTCTGTTGTAATGAGTCCTCCTAAAGCTTTCCGTGTGATACGTCTGCATCTCAATGGCTGGAAGCTCCTTGTCTAGCCTCTCCTAGCTTAGGGAGGTGCGCAGTGTAGACTTTTTCTAGGCAGCAATTCTCAGTAAGTACCAGAGTTCTGAGGAAGAAAGGGAGGATGGGTCCCTGCTGGACAGCCAGCAGTGTCTGCCCACCTTCCCTCCCTCCACACACTCGCTGGGGTGTTCGTATCTACTCTGCAAGCTCCCATGACTTTCCTTCCCACTCAGCACTTCTCCTTGGAGCCCACGGCCGTGCTGCCAATGGTAGAATGACACCCCCTCTTTAATAGCTCCCCCGGTTCCCGGGCTCATCATGTGGGTTTCTGGTGTAGCATCTAATGCTCTATGTTTGCCACTTGTTATTTATAATTATGTATGTTTTTCTTCTCTGCCCGCCTCTTCTCCAGAATGAGCTCTTTGAGGACAGAGACCACATCATATTTATTTTTGTAGCTCTACATACAGTGCCTGGCCCAAGTGCCTTCTCTGTAAATGCTATAAATGTAATAAATGTAGAATGAAGACTTCTCTCTGAGCTCCTTTGAAGCAGTTCCAGGGTCTTAAATTGGGGATTTCAAGGAAATGAGGTCATTGGCCCATGAGCTGATGTCCTCTTCCATTCTCTGCTTTTACCAGGTGTATGGTATTTTCTATGCCACGTCCTTTCTTGACCTCTATCGCAACCCGAAGAGCTTGACTACTTCGCTCCACAATAAGACGGTCATTGTCAGTAAGGATGAGCAGTATTTGTTTCTGGTAAGTTTCCTGTACCATTTCAGTTTTTTAAGGGATGTCTTAAGTCCTGGGCTCTGGGCTCAACCCAGGACCTGGGGAGCTCGCATACCTGGACTCCAGGATCGATGTGTGTGACGAGAGGCAACTTCCTCTTCTTCATAAGCATCATCGGGTTCTTGCTTGAAATACGGAATGAATGACCACTGTCACCAACTGCAGCTCCATTATGGAGGATTGATAACTCGGCAGATGATCACAAGTATAGATAAATCAAAAACTTTTATCAGGTTCCAGTTCTAGGAATTTAGTCTACATACTTTTATGTGTGTGCCGAGATAGATGGAGAAAGATACTTGGTATGTTATTATTACTTATGATAGCAAAAGATGTGACGCAACCTAAACGTCTATGAAGAGAGGACTGGTTAAACATACTGTGATTTATTCATGCAATGGAGTACAGGGCAGCCATTCATAAGAAATATGACAACTCTAAATGTACTGATACAGAAAAGTCTCTAAGCTATCTTATTATGTGAAAGAAGCCAAGAGCAGAATATGTGTGCCATTTTCTCAGTTGTATAAAAAATATTTGAGGAAGATAGGCTACATGTACACATGCTTATATGGGTAAGGATACATGTATATACATATCCGTGCTTATATATGCATAGGGCATTTCTGGAAGGAAGCACAAACACTCTTACCAGTAGTGGTACCCCTTGGAAAATGATCTGGGGTAGGTGGGAAATTACTTTATATTTTATGTTGTTTTTTACTAACTGAATGTTAATTGTTGTCATTATTTTGTTGAAAAAATACTTTAATAAAGATTGCATAAGGCCATGATATATTTTTTTCCTGTGTGTGTGCTTGGGCTTTAGGTCCGGGTAGTGGTACCCTACCAGGGGCCATCGTCTGACTACGTTGTAGTGAAGATGATTCCAGACAGCCGCCTTCCGCCCCGTCACCTGCATGTGGTTCATACGGGCAAAACCTCCGTGGTCATCAAATGGGAATCACCGTATGACTCTCCTGACCAGGATTTGGTGAGTGGGCCGGGCTTCCAGGCCTCTGTGTTTATTCTTGGCATGGTTAGGGTAGGGTGGGATGGAAGGGGGTCCTCTAATGGGGCAAGAAACACAGGCCTGCTTTCTGGCGTCCAGCAGAAGGTCTCTCCCATTTCTGTCTGGCCAAAGATGGGGTCCGTGTAGGGACTTCTTCTTAACTGACACTTCTCCATTATTCCCAGCTACCATTTTGGATTGTCCCTCTTTCTTCTCTGCTGCTCACATTTCCTTCCCTGACCCTCTCACACAGGGATTAGCAAACAGAGGTCTGCAGGCCAAACACAGCCCATTGCCTATTTTTTTTTAATAAAGTTTTATTGGAACCAAGTCATGCCCATTTGTATATGTATATTATATCTCACCACTTTTGTGCAATGATCAGCAGAGTCGTTGTGATGGAGACTCTCTGGGCCTCAACGCCTACAGTATTACTGTGTGTGGACCCTTACAGAAAGTTTGTGACCCCTCTTTGAAAGGAGCGTTGATCCTAAACAAAACAAAACAAAAATCGCCCATTTTTTCCTTGCTCTGGGCTGCTCTGCCCTCTGCCCTCTCTCCACTCCCCTTCATCCAGCAGTGGTTGGTTTAAAATGCTTGGTTGCTAATACTCCTCTCAACTCTCCACTTCTCTGTTGTGATTGAATTTCCTGTGCTTACTATATGCCCTGTTATTTTCCCTTGCACCCATATACCTAGAAGCAGCCTGGGAGAAAGTAAGTAGATCCTTGCCCTTTAGAGCCAGGATTGAACACTTTGGTTCATTCTCTCTCCACCAACAACATCCATGAACCATTGCAATGGTGGAGATATGGAAGTTGAGTACTGAGTTTGGATGTGCTTGCTTGTTCCAACCTACCTGCTGATGCCACGATAAATGTGGCCTTCCCTAGAGGGCTAAAAAAAATTTAATTGATAACTCTATGTGCAATTCTATGAGTGAATAGTTATTTTAAGATTGGACCTGGTCACTCCAAAGGCTTTCCAAAGAATGAAGTCAGAGTTTGGGACTCAAACTATGGTTGCTGTGGGTCACAGCTATTAATATACTGCATTGTCCACCATTGAACTACAAAGAGTAAAAAATGTCAGCCTTCTGATTATCATTCAGATGTTCTTTTTCGGTCCTAGTTGTATGCAATTGCAGTTAAAGATCTAATAAGAAAGACTGACAGGAGCTACAAAGTAAAATCCCGTAACAGCACTGTGGAATACACCCTTAACAAGTTGGAACCTGGTGGGAAATACCACATCATTGTCCAGCTGGGGAACATGAGCAAAGATGCCAGCATCAAAATTACCACAGGTAAGCGGGAGAGAGGTTAGAGGTCTCCTCGCACAGCCAAGTGCCCACAGTGCTGTGCCGCTAGACCTCCAGACACAGACTTTTCATTAGGAGTTTCACAGGAAGTGCAAACGCTGCCTTCAGTATCCCTACAGGGGCAGAGCAGTGCAGAGGCTCCAGTGTCTGGGCTGCGGCGTGGTGGCCGGGGCACAGTGGGCTGGGGAGTGGCTATCGTTTTCTATATTTTCTAAGTCTTTTTAACTCCCCTCACTTGTTTTGATATTACTAAAGGAAAAGAGAGGAGGGATGCCCAAGAGAGGAAATAAAACCGAATAGTTACCACGATGTAGCTGAATATCTGAATGGCAGGTTCTCAGTGGTCCATTGTGGCAGTCTGACATGTCGAAGTGGAGGGAGACCCATAGCTGGGTGGTGGATCTAAGGGCAGTCACGCTCAATTCAGAAAGATGGTAGTAAGCTCAGTTGCTCAGACAGCAGGTATTATTGGGAGTTTTGATATTGGGTTATGGAGGCCCAGCCCCATTTATGCTAGTGGCATGCAGTGGGCCCGGGCCACGAGCCATCGTCACTCCAGTGTCCTGTTTTCAGACGAAACTCCTTACGCCATCCCATTCCTTCCCCACCACCCCTCTAGCCCACCCCATTTGTTTTTGTACACCCTTGGGTACAAGGGCTATTAAATTAAGTACTGTCCAAATTTCTTGCCTGAAGATGTTATAACAATAACAAAGAGATGCCAATTAAAGAATATCTACCACATGCTAGGTTCTGTACTCAGCAGTCTATATGTTTTATTTTTTCCGTAATCCAGCCTCCAAGGCTAGCATTATTTAATCTCTCTTTGACAGACAAGAAAATGGAGTTTCAAATGTGTATCCACTAACTGCATCCCATTTCATCTTTAATTTTCAGTTTCATTATCAGCACCTGATGCCTTAAAAATCATAACAGAAAATGACCATGTTCTTCTGTTTTGGAAAAGCCTGGGTTTAAAGGAAAAGCATTTTAATGAAAGTAGGGTAAGTTCCTCCCTCATTCTCAATGACTTTGGAAATTTAATTGAAATGCTGTTTCAGAGATGAGCTCGTTAACAGCCTGCTGGCATAGATAGTGTAAAAAAAAAGAAAGAAAAAGAATAGGACGTGGACATGAACTTGAGAATTAAAGGACCATTTTCGATGGGATTGCTAATTAGTGAAATGTTTATATTGCCCATTAAAGATGAGAATCTCTGCACTAAGCACTTTTCAATCCTGACTTGTCTTCCTCTGAAGAAAGAGAAATGGGCTGGAGGCCATGCTGTGCTTCCCGCAGAAGCTGCAGCTGGGCTGGGGCTCAGGGTATCACACCAGGAGCCCCGCCTGTTCCACACTCGTTGAGGGCAGGACTGTGGCTTCAGTACCAGGAGCTGAGCTGCACTCTCAGCCTGGCATCTCAGCACTCTCTTCCCAGAGAAATTACAGGGAGCAGGAGGTACTTGAAGATACCTTGCTGACTTATGAAGAACACCTTGGTTTTGTTTGGTTTTGCTATTGGTAGGCCAATATGATATTCACAGCAAAAGACAGGGGAAGGGGAGTGAGACCTGGGAGTAGATTTACCATCCAAGGGTGGACAGATTCTTGAGTAACACTGGGTTGGCCCCAGTGACAGCAAAGCCTTAGCTAAATAGGAATGTGATGAATCAACTATGGCTACCTGGAGATGCAGCATAGGCAAAGAGCCGTGGGTTCTAAATAGTCACCATGCAATGCCAAAGCAAAGTGAAATGAAAGTTGGAAAATTCTCACCACACACTCTGTGAGAGTTCTCATAACTCTTACAACTATGATATCTAAATAGCTAATATCCTTAAATATAAGGAAAGCTTTCAAGTAAATTCACAACAGAAATATTCTAATTTTGAAGAAGGTACATGTAACAAAGCAAAAAATTCCAGCAGCAGTAAGCAAAAGGAGAAAAGTTCAACCTCACCAGTAATGTAAATAACAAAGAGGTAGCCCTGTCATGTTAAATTGGTAAAGATTTGCAGGGAAGAATATAACCGGTATGGATAACAGTTAGGGAAGTAAACATTCTGTGAATATAAATTGGTTCAACCTTAAGTAAGGCTCTTGGGTAATATCTATCAAAAATGTTAAAAGTGTTCACACCCATTGATCCAGGAGTTGTAGGATTTTACTCTAAAGAAACAATGTGCCTGAAGAATTTATGTACAGTATTTATGACAGTAAGAAAGAGGAAATGGCCGAAATGCCAAACAGAAGAGGATGGGTTAAATAATGTATGAGTGGTTGATGTTGTGTAATCTAAATTATTTTCTTTATAACCTTTATGTATTTTACAAACGATCGACACCAAATATATATTAGGTGGAAGGTAATAACTGCTAGCTTATAGAAAAGAATGTGGGGATGAGATTCCAGGCAGGTATTGGGAATCCTAGTTCGGCAGCCAGTCGCCAGTAGGGGATCCTTCCTGGGTGGCTGGAGCCCGGCTCTTAGGTTGAGATTCTAAGTTAGTATTTCGTTCCTAGTGGAGGGTCTGGCACAGGCAGAGCATGTCCTTCTTCCCTTCCCCTGACAGGGAGTTCAAAGAATTATATTAGTCCGTTTCCACGGTGCTAATAAAGAATTATATTAGTCCGTTTCCACGGTGCTAATAAAGACATACCCGAGCCTAGGTAATTTATAAATGAAAGAGGTTTAATTGACTCACATTACCGCATGGCTGCAGAGGCCTCTCCATCATGGTGGAAGGCCAAGAGGAGCAAAGCCACATCTTACATGGTGGCAGACAAAGAGAATGAGAGCCAAGTGAAAGGGGAAACTTCTTATCAAACCATCAGATCTCGTGAGACTATTCACGACCATGAGAACAATATAGGGGAAACCACACCCTTGATTCAATTATCTCTCACTGGGTCCCTCCCACAACACCTGAGAATTATGGGAGCTAGAATTTAAGATGCGATTTGGGTGGGGACACAGCCAAACCACATCAAGAATAGATAGGTCAGTGGTGTTGGGATCAAGAGACTGTGATTATGCAAGGGGGCCCAATATGTGGCTAGAGATAAGGGATAGAGTCTTTTCAGGGGGATGGTGGAGAGTGTCAGTAGCTTTGACACTGGAATAGTCGGGGATCAGCAGAGAGGTCAGGTTGTCAGCCCTCATCCCAGCTAGCATCCTGGGCCAGGGCTGTCCCAAGGGTGACTTTTCCCAGCACTGGAGTCCAGGGCTCTAACTAGGAAGACATTTCATCCTCTCCTCCAGTGAACAGGGGCCTGATCAAGCTACAGTGCTTCTTATTTCAAGGCCAGGTTGTTGGGGAGCTGAGATCAGCTCAGGAGGAGCTAGAAAGCAAGGAGACAGGAAGTGAGCCGACAAGGTCATTCCTACACATTGTTCTGGGGACAAATGTCCTGTCTTTTCTAATTGCAAGTTCCCCTTTCTCACCCCATTGCTGGAGTCCACTACGACCTGGATTTATTATTAGTCAAATCCCATTACGGCAACCTGTTCAGATTCTTGGTGGCATTTAATATTGCCTGAGACAGGCAGACTGCTGAGCACAACTCTGAATGTGGCTTTGTTAAAATGACTTTCCTGAGGGCCACAGTTCTCATTTCCACAATATAGCTTGTAAGTGGGGGGCGGGGGGTGGCAGTTATTTGAGACATTGGAGATGAGCAAATTTTCATTTTCTGAATCCAGTATCTCAGTGGTAATATAAAAAGAACAAGGAGAAACCCAGAGCACTTTAGCATCTGTAGCAGCCTGCAGTGAGGAGTTCACATAAAGCTGGAACCAGTAATAGACTAGGCTGTCAGTTTCCATATTCGACTTCCTGAGCAATCTCCTGTGTTTGTTTTCAGGGCTATGAGATACACATGTATGATAGTGCCATGAATATCACAGCTTACCTTGGGAATACTACTGACAATTTCTTTAAAATTTCCAACCTGAAGATGGGTCATAATTACACGTTCACTGTCCAAGCAAGATGCCTTTTTGGCAGTCAGATCTGTGGGGAGCCTGCCATCCTGCTGTACGATGAGCTGGGTTCTGGTGAGTTGTGATTGCTGTCCGTTTCTGCCTGCAGTTCTGGGGAAATAGCAAGAACGTTGGATGATTTGATGACCACTTGTCTTTCTAAAACACCTTGAAGATATTCTCAGCTTAAAAGAAAATCATTTATATATCAGTTTAATCAGGTAGTGATGTATTTAACAAATACTTCCTGAGCTGGACATGGTACAAGAAGCTGAGATTACAGGGGGACCGGATTCTCAACAGAAAGTGTAAGAAAGGCAAGGCTTGGTTTAAAAAGAGAAATACTAGGTTCATAAGAGTTTTGTTTTTTGTGGGACTTCTCAGAGCCTCTACCATGCTAATATACCCTGTGGGTCCCCAAGCCAGAGATCATCTCTTTGTCATGGATTTTACATGTAAAATCATATAACAGTGCGCACCCCCGCCCCGCCCCGGCTTCATCTTAGCTCTCAGCATAAGCTTAGGCCTGGAATTTGCCCTGGGATCTCTGTCTTACGTCTTATGCTGGGCCATGCTAGTGGTGGTAGAGAAGACCCTTCCGTTCATACAGAAAGTCTGCTTACATTAGAGTAGCTTGGCCAGGATTTCAACAAATGTTTTGCCACTGGTCTTTTTTAGTTCCATTTACTCTCAGCCAAGAACTAACCAGTGCTCAAGCCAAAATCTTGTGTTAGAGTTGTTAAATGTTCCGTCTCATAGTGTTTCTCAGGGTGAGATCTCGTGCAATATTTATCCTTGGCACCCCCCACTAAGAGAGGGAAGCACTGCCTGCCACTTCCCTTGGGAGAATCCTAACATATTAGAGGTTCTGAGAAGGTCCTACAGAAACCAGCACAACTCTTGTTGACCTAGGATTTCCTCAATAGAGCCCCATTTTTAGGCAAAACTAATTGGTAACCTGTGAAATATGCTTTGGGAAAAATTCCTGTGCAGACCCCTCCCGGCCACCTTTATGGAACCAAGGTTGTCAGGCAGGAGGGCTCTTGACTGACATCTTGCCCCTTCATGTTCACCTTCCCCTTGGAAGTGGGGTGGGGGAGGGAGGGCGCTCATTCCTGGAGCTCCCAGCCTCCATTGTGCCGACTTCCTCTTCACTGCTCCAGCCGAGCACACCCCCTTCATTAACCACAGCACAGTTGGAATAGGTTGGAACATATTAAATAAGATGTTGCTAGAGTTTTTTTCTAGCAAGGAAATAATGAAAGAAATTTAAATACAGACATGAATATTGAATTGTTAAATTAAGCTTGCAAGAAATGGTGGTTCTCTGGCCCATCTTGATGAATACCCTGTGAGGGTGAATGCCTGGGTAGCGACAGAGCTTTCTACATGAAGCAGAGTCCTGGCCTGTGCCACTTCTCCCGATACCGGGGAGCAACCCCAAGCCTGTTGAGGCTCCTCATGGAGACCTAGCCTGAGGGAAGTCCACTCTGTTTCCTTTGCCAAAACCTGATTCCTAGGTTTCATTTTCAAGTTCAGACATTCCCTGGAATTTTTAACATGAGAAGTCTACCGCTTTCAAGGAGACTGGCCCCTACCCCAGCAGTGTGGAAGGTGGGCCATGGCTTTGCCCTAGAGCCCTGGTGGTACAAATCTATTAGTGACTCATCACAGAGCCAGTTTGTTTAAGTCAATAGGAAGGGGCCATCTGTGTTAGGTTATAAATGGCAAAACGGCTTTGTAAAGAGCTTTAAAAAATGTGACATGTATATGGAAAGTTGTTTTTCTCCCCCACTCTCTTTTTTACTTAAGTGAAAAACCTCGTAAAACTTCATGAGCTGTTAAGTCTGTATTGTGGTGTAGGAATCTCGTTTGTATCACTTAATGGAGCTTCAGGTAATTGCAGTTCAGAGTGACTTTGGTGCCAAGTAGGGGGAAATAATTGCAATCTCGTTAATTAGTGGTCTGATTTCACATCCTCTTATGTAAGGCAAGCAAGTGGTCTTAAGTAATAATGCTAATGGAATCAATGTTGATACCCCAACAAAGGTCTCCCTTCCAAGAGATTATCTAAATAACCAACAAGGCAGTGATTAGGAGTCTAATGTAATTACCGTATTTGCATGCACAAGGCCCTTGGTCTATCAGCCCATAGCAAGTAGTCGGAAAGCAATCAGGCATCACGCACATGCAGAAATGTCTCATACCAGACAGGCAGTTTGTGTAGCTGTGGCGATCGCCCAGCTTTTTTTGGTGGGTGGAGCCTTGAGGAGTCATCTGGTCTGTTCTCCTGCCCTCAGGTGGGCTTATTGGTGGGAACTTTGCCTTGGCAGGTGCAGATGCATCCGCCATGCAGGCTGCCAGATCTACGGATGTTGCTGCCGTGGTGGTGCCCATCTTATTCCTGATACTGCTGAGCCTGGGGGTGGGGTTTGCCATCCTGTACACGAAGCACCGGAGGCTGCAGAGCAGCTTCACCGCCTTCGCCAACAGCCACTACAGCTCCAGGCTGGGGTCCGCAATCTTCTCCTCTGGGGATGACCTGGGTAAGTGGGGCAGGGAAAGTCGGTTCTTCCTCCCAGGGCTGGCCGGCACACAGCCAACGACTTGAAGAGGAAACACCCACCCTCAGCTTGTCTTTCGACACTAGAGGAGCTCTCATCAGCCAGCGATTTGATTCCATGGCTTTTGGTTAAACCATTCAGAGTCCTTACTTTTTACCTTTTAAGTTAATTAAAATGTTGTATTATCTTTGACTGTGTAGTTCTGGCCTGAAACAGGGAGAGTGCCTCAAACAGGAAGGATAGATAGGCCCCAGGCGTTGAGACTCCCAAAGTTTGGGAAAATCCTCAAGAATATCTGAGCCCTCTCTCATCCTTCACTGACCTGGAGGTCTGAGGTCTCTCAAGATCGTAACTCGAGATAACAAATAATGCTTTCCCAATCAGCTTCTATCAAAGGAGGCCCTTTCCGTCTTGCTGTTTCTCTTTCTGGTTGCTAGTGTAACCTCACCAGCCATTCTTTTATGTACCTTAACACAGTGGTCCCCAACATTTTTTGTACCAGGGACCAGTTTTGTGGAAGATAATTTTTTTCACTGGACCAGCGGTGGAGGGGGGGAGGGTTGGGGCATGATTTCAGGATGAGACTGTTCCACCTCAGATCAACAGGCATTAGATTCTCATAAGGAGCGCTCAGCCTGGATCCCTTGCATGCTCAGTTCACAACAGGGTTTGCGCTGTGAGACTCTAATGCCGCCCTGATCTGACAGGAGGCGAGGCTCAGGCTGTAATGCTCACTGGCTCGCTGCTTGCCCCCTGCTCTGCGGCCCCATTCCTAACAGGCCAGGTACTGGTACCGGTGGTCCTTGACCTGGGCACTGGGGACCCCTCTCTTGACACATAGCAAGGGAAAAAGTAAGAAATTTCCCGTTTTGAAATCTTTGCACAATGAAAACCCTAAATGCTAATAGAGATAGTAAGATAGTAATATAATTAAGTGGGTGTGTTACAAGGCTTCCCCAAACTGAGACTAATGACTGTGAATGTACAAGTTTATTTTTTTCTGTAAACTAGTTATAATTGTTTATCTATGTGTATAAAGACATTTGTATATTCCCCTTCACGGGTCGTATATTAGCTCTGTTCCCTTTCCTTGTCAGTTTCCTTTCTTGCTTAATAAGCCGGCACCTGGACTGCCTTGCGTAAATGGGGTGGCTTCTTTGCTTCTGCTGTTGGAGGCAAAAGGAGTCGACCCGTCACGGTGCCCTGCGATAATCCCTGAGTGTCGGTCGACACTTGGTTGCACAGGATTATACCAGGGGTCACAAGAGGATAGCCATTAGTCTGGGAAGCTGTCCTCAAAATGCTTAAACCCCACCAAGATCCTTTTTCCCCAGAGCAGTTTGGGTTCAGAAGAGAAAGCAGACACTGCAGTTCACTGTGCTAGTGTAGGGTATGGATAACTCAAACTGGGGAACCCAAACCACCCACTTAGCTTTTGTGTAGGTAATAAGATTCTTCTCCTGAGAAACTTTGTTTTCCTAATTTGGCTACGTTCAAATGACCATTAAAATCAGTATGAGGATCCGTCGATGGGTAGAAGGTGGCCAGGAGGGACCGTGGGAAGCTGGGCTGGGTTTCAGAACTGATTATGGTGTCTGCCTGGCTATGGCGTTGACCTTCTCAGCTAGCGGGTTGTGGTAGGGTTGAGGGGTAGGTAGAGTGGTGGGATGTGGGGTCAGGTTAAAGTGTGTTGGAACTCACCAAGGCCTGACTGTTTTGTCTCTAGGGGAAGATGATGAAGATGCTCCTATGATAACTGGATTTTCAGATGACGTCCCCATGGTGATAGCCTGAAAGAGCTTTCCTCACTAGAAACCAAATGGTGTAAATATTTTATTTGATAAAGATAGTTGATGGTTTATTTTAAAAGATGCACTTTGAGTTGCAATATGTTATTTTTATATGGGCCAAAAACAAAAAACAAAAAACAAAGAACAAAAAAAAGGAAAGAAAGGAATGAATAAACTTTGTAGTAATCAACTGTGAACTTCAAACCAGGTTGATTTGAGTAACCAAATTGCTTTGATTTGACATTAACGTAGTCTTACAGGGCTGTGCTTGCTGGGCATGCTTTTAAGTCTGTGAGATAATTTTGGTTCAGTAAATTGGCCAATCTTTTTATTTTTCTAAGACACAGAAATGTATTTAATAAAAACCTCGAGAGAGTGATGGGTGGAACCCCTTCTCCTTGAAAGTGTGCGCAGATACTCCATTTTGTTTGGATATAGTTTATAGGAAAGTGTGTGGGTGTGTTATGGGGGAAGGTTTCTTTATGTTATTTTGTTAATTTATTGGGACTCTGTGTAAGGCCAGGCTTTAGTGGTCATTAGACACCACATGTGTTATGAGCCCCTTACCCATAGGGTTGGAGGTGGGAACAGAAGCATTTTTTGTTGCCATTCCGGAAGCAATCCATTTTGATTCACTTGTGTGTCACATAATGGTCTTTGGCAGGAGAGAGCACTGAGTCATTGCCGGAGTTCAGTTAAACAGAGCTGCAGCCTGGGAAGCCCTGCAAGTCCACAGCTTCCTCTCTTATATTAATTGATGGAATTTTACTGTATGTGCCTCTGTACAAGATGTAGCTTTGAGAGCTACAAAATGATAACACTGCTTTATTACACACTGGTTTCATTGTCATTGCAAAAACTTACCCTTGTTGTAGGAGAGAGTTCTAGATCTGTGCCATGATCCATACACTGGCCAATAGAGTACATAATTTTTCCATTTTCCATTTTTTGTTTTTACTTACTACTGAAGGATCTCAAATGTAAAATTATGTATTTGGGTTGAGATGGCCACTTATTGTCCTTAAAAATCCATACTGATGTATGCAGTCATTTTGAATTGGGTCAGTGCCTTCTCGCTCTCTTTTTTTTTTTCTTTTCTTCCATCTCCCTCACCCATGCCCCCACCCAATCTAAAGAGACAGTGCTGTACACTCTCATAGAGATAGAGAAGATCTAAAACGTTGAGACTCCTCAATCCAGTTAACAACAGCAGGAGCACTAGAGGGTGTTCATTTATTCTCTTTGTAAAACAAGCTGTGCTTTTTTTTCTTCTTCTGCCTTTAAAATGCCACCCCTGTATTCAAACCATGGCCACTTGATAGTTATGTAGAAGCCATCGTGGGCTGATGCCAACCCTTTAGGCTTAGCGTTGTAGGTACCAATGTCTAGCATCGTCGTGACTTGTACTGTATGATTCTCACTGAAGAATTTCCTTTCAGCCAAGAAGCAGTGAGGTCTGGGAATAGTCCAAAGTCGTGTCTCTGAATATATGTCCTTGATATGCAAGCTTTGTAAAACCCCATCCCCCCTTAGGTGCGATGCATCATCTTCTCACAAGTGTTTAGTTTCTTTTAACCGAAAGTATCATTCTTGGGTGATAATATAGTTTTATTCTACTTAGGGATTGTTTAGAAAACAAAGAGCCAATTAAATTTTTTAGTTTTTAAAATTTTTATTTATATATATACTGAGATGAGTATTTTAAGCTGTCGACCTTTAATTTGCCATACGGGTAGGGCTGTATTTCATTTTAACAACCGGTGGTAATGATAAGCCTTCTTCTAGTGTATTTTCTCTTCTTTCCTGTCACTCTCCTTTTTTAAGTTTTTTTTTTTTTTTAAAAGACTGGAATTTTTTTGGCTTTATCATGTCTTACTATAGAGATTTGTTCAAAACTCTAAGCCCTACCACCTCCCCTTTAATAAGCTCTTTAAATAGTTGAATCATTAACAACCTGGTGGGAGGTAAGTCATTTAATTGAACCACTAGGAAGTGTATTTTCTTTTCTTTTTCTGCCAACTTTTTGGTGGCATTTGTAAAAGCTGATATAAAAGGCTCTGCGATGTTATTTTCAGTTATTCCATAGGCAAGCCTTTTTACAGAGCATATGTCTCCAGTTGGCAGCTTGAGATATTTTTGAGCATCCAGTTCTAGCTACCAGTGCCTCCCAATGCTTAGTGCACAGTACTGTAGACTGGCCATCACCCCTCTCCTTGGAAAATGCCACTGTGCTGTTTGAAAAAAAGCAGCTTTTTAGGGCTAGAGTATTTTATATAAACAGAAGAGCTAAGTTCCTGAAGACTAAGCTAGATAGATGCAGCTATATGTAAATTGTATATTTTTATGAACTTTTGAAGCACACACTCCCGTTTCCCTCTGTGTAGCTTTGTGGGGATTTCATGTGTATATGCTGTCTGAAAGAATCCAGAGGTTGGAGTGCCAATAGGAAATGAAAACAAATGCCTCATACTACAGACAGCCTTTGAAGGTGACCAGATAACTGTCTTCATTGTGACCAGTTGGAGTCCCTCCTTGCTTGTGAAGAAGGGGCTTTTGTACCTTGTTGGAGATGCCACCTCAGAAGTTCACACCGTGCCGGAAAAAGGTTTTCTTCTCTCGCGGTGTACATTAGAATGTCAGATGCCTGCATCCATGTGGACCACGATGGGCCTCTAAAATTTGGTGGGCAGGGGGTTTGCTTATGAGTTTTTTCTGGAAGCCGATTTTACTCCTGGATGTATTGAATGCCCCTTGAGCTTTATGAGATACGAGTCCACATGGATAAAATGTCAGAGAGTGAAGTTCTACAGAGGATATTCCGGGAAAAGGCCATGTCTGTGCAGTCCTAGTTCCAGACAGGTGAGAAGCTCCCGGAGCTACTGGCTACCTTGACAAGCTGGGTAGATAGTTATTATTCTGGGTAACTGTTGAAACTTTGATTTTTGAACAAGTAATTCCTGGGGTTCTGTCTTTGGTAGCATCACCAGGGATATTTGGGTAGGACGGACAGGGGACACACAGCTGCCTTTTCTCTCCTGCCCATCATGTTTGGCTATACTCAGCAAAAATTTAAGGAATGTAACCCTTCTCAAAACTGGCCATTTTCAGGGGAGGCTTGGGACAGCAGTAGTATGGTGAGCCCCTTACAGATGAGCACCCATTCCTCCTTGGTGAATCCTGCCTTCAGATGCTTACCCAGTGGTCCCTGCATCTAGTAAGATTATATTTCCAGTACACTTCCTTAGGGCAGAAACACCATCCTGTCAGGTTTGGTCAGTCCCTTCTCCATGAAGGGAGTCATGGTGAATTCCTGAAAATTTTCTTCCTTCTGCAGACGGTTGGAGGGGTCCCTTAGAGAAGGCATCCAGAGACATAACCAAACTGAACATCACCCCATATTGATTTTCGGAATTGACTCTAAAACTCTGTGCAGAATCTTGTGTTGGGATTATATCTTGACATTCCTGTCAAGTTATTTTTCTTAACTGGAGTGTGTGCTGCCTTTCAGGTACAATTTTTGTGTAATAAAAGCCAGTGCATTAAGTTTATATAGACTACCTTCTATGCAAGACTGAGATATGGAATGGATAGCAAGAGATATGTACTGTTGGGTACACGGACAGTAAGTGTGTTTTTGGATGGAGTACCAGCACCGAAAATGGGTTGAGGGAGGATGGGTTGTATATATGTTTCTGCCCACTAATTTTGAGCAGCCATATTATGAATTAAATCATCACAGCCAAGTAATAACCCAAGAATGGTATTAGTTTCATGTGTAATAGCTCAAATGGAATAAGCATGAATGCTGGAGTGGAACATTATCCTCAAATATTCTATGTCACTTCTCATTTAAAGACTCTTGTTATGAACTATTAGAAACTTTAGGCAAAATCGAAAGTATTCGTGGCAAAATAAAGGCCTATTCTACTCTTATTTAAAGTGAAACACTGTATACTTGTTTCTCTCCAAAGTGAAATTAGGTATTTATAATTTCAATTGCCTCGATAAGTTTCCAAGTCACTGAAATCTGCTGAAGGTTTTACTATATTGTTGCACAATTTTAAGATAATTTTTGTCTCAATGTCAACTTTTTTCACTGAATAAAAATTTAACTGGGTCAAGAAAACACCTATTTGAAAATCCACTGTCTCTGTGTGTCTTGAGTTGTTCTTTAGAGTGCAATAAAGATGGCTAACGCAGGCTCCAAACCCCATTTGATTGGTCTGTTTTAAAGGGATGTTTATTTCATAGATGAGAGAACACTAAGGCCTGGAATAATTTTGTTATTAACAAGCTGGTCTCAGATGGTGGATCCTTGAAGAACACGATGCCTTTGTGTTGGCTGAGGAGGGGGGAGATGTGGTGGCTGTTTTGAAGTAAACAGAATTATTCCGTAGGGACAACGACTAAAGTAGCTCCCTTAAATCTGTAGCTACATTTGCTAAGAGGCAGTGTGCTAAGAAGGCAATTTTCAAATCTAAGAGAAGGAAGCGCAGCAGTAGAGATGAGCTGTGTGTCTAAGAGCACTTCCACGGGTCTCCATAGACAGTCTTGTGAGGAGGGCTGCATGTACCTCTTATGAGCAGCTGAATGGCCAGTGGGCCTGTAAGTGAGGATTGGAGGCTGTGGAACTGGGTGGGGGAGGGAGGCAGGTTTTTAAGAATTTAACAGGTCCTCTGGTATGCTGCTTTTGTTTAGACACTGAGCCAGAGCCAAACCCTGAAGTATTAGCATCCGGTTTTGTGAATGAAGAAAAGGAGGCATAGAAAAGTGAAGTAATTTAGGAGAAACCAGAGCATAAAAGGCAAAACCAGCCTCCCGTCCCTGGTGTTTCTGATTCCAGATCCTTTTCTGAATCACGATGCCGCAGCGCCTCATGTCACCATTCAGTGTCACAGAGAACGCATTAGTCCAACATATTGCACCAAGCGAAATCCCAAGGGGAGACCTACCATCTGGGTGAGTCTCCTTGGTCATGGCCTCACCCTTAGGTTTTCAGGCTTAGATAATTTTTGTCAACACATGATAGTGAATTCATCTCTCATGGCCAAACACACCTTAACCAAACTCAGGATGCTGATATTGCAACGTCATGATGTCCATTTGTTAATTCACCCTGGGAAAGGGTCCTGTCCCTTACAATGTCCACATGACCAGTGCATTCTCTCCCTGTAGGGAGATCTATCCCAGGAGCCAGTCACCACCCGAAGCTTGCTTGGAGAGCAGGGGCAAATAATTTTAAAAGTAGGAGGATTCTGGGTTAGCATAGTGGTTGCCCAGTAAATAATGAATGGACAAAGGCTTGACACTCCGCAACAGGAATCATCTACTCCATATAAACTTAGTATTTGAAACCGTCAGATTGCAACGCCCTGTATCCATTTCTATTTAAAAAGATCTTGCCAATGGGATCTAATACTTCAAGTCCAGGCACTGTGGTTCCCCTGGACAGGTCTTGGGCACTGCCTACATCGGTCACTCTGACTCATCTCTACGTGTCCCGTTGTTGAGTAAGCTCCCCCACTCATGAAAACATTCTATAGCAAAATGAATTTATTTGGACTGAGTTTGAATCGAATCTTCCTGGCTAAGAGCCACATTCTGACTACATCCGTCAGCTGTGATTATTGGGCTCCCCAGCCCACAGCAAATTGAACATGGGTTGAGGCTGCTAAAGGCGGCTACTCCGAGTACAATAGAAGAGAAGCCACGAGTTGGAGTTAGACTGCTGGAAAACCTATGTGAGAGATAAAGGAACTCCAGCAAATATACTTCTTGGGAATATTTAGCATAAAACCAGAGTCCTACACAGTAAGTAGCCCATCCAATTAGAATAATTATCATTCCCTTCCATTGAACCCCTATTCTTTGCTAGTGACTATGCTAAACTCTCTCTCTCTCTCTATATATATATGTGTGTGTGTGTGTGTATATATATATATATAACAATATCTTTCATAGGAAAGTGTATATATCTTGTTATATATAAAAACAATATCTTTTTTCTTTTAAAGGAAAGATGAATACCTAAATCACAGAAGCACTTTTAGAATTAAAATAGGTGTACATATACATATATTTATATA